TAAAAAAAATTCTCTATCTGAAATTACTTAAAATTTTCTTTACGGCCCAGTATTTGCTCAATTTTTTTAAATGTCCCAGTATACTTGAAAAGAATGAGTATTCTGTAAGCAATGAATACAGTGTACTAAATATGTTTATTGCATCACAATACTACAACCTGAAGTTCAAAACATGTTTCCTTGGTGATTTTTGTTTGTCTGCTTGATCTATCAATTGCTAGAGAGGTGCATTCCATCTCCTACTGTAAGTGCAGATCTGTCCATTTGTTCTTGTACTTTCTTTTTTTTTTTTTTTCTAGATGTAATTTATTTCAGGATATTTTTCCTCACATTATATGTTTCTACTTTCCCCCTTTTTATTTAAATATTAGGAGGCTTTTGAAAATCTTTTTTTTTTAATCAATCTTTATTGTTCATATTATTACAAAGGTTCCTCATTTCTTCCCCCCTCACCAGGTTCCCACCCCACCCTCTGCCCCCTCCCCATCCCCCATTGTCCTCATCCATAGGTGCAGTTTATGTTCAGTCTCTTCTTCCCTCCCTTTCCCCAATAGTAAATCCCTTTTCAGATAGTAAATCAGTTACTTAGCATTTTCTCATATCAATAATACCTCCACATGCCCAATGATACACTTCACACACAAGACATTTTGCAATAGGTCCACCAGCCTCATCCAGGCCCCACCCAAGGCACTCACAGATCAACACCCCAGTCCTAAACTAACTCAACACATCCAGATCTAAGCCTTCATCACTTGATTCAGCAGACCCTCAAGTTCCCACGAAAGTTTCCAGCATGTCTGAGAAGCAGCCGTGGGGCAGGGGCAGGCAAGGAGCGAGCTGTTCTGGGCCTGGCTGCTCAGGGCCTGGCCTCTGCTGCTCTGGTTCATTCCACAACCAGCTGCTCCGGGTCTGGTCACTGCCGCTCCCGACCTAGTTGCTCTGGACTTGGCTGCTGCTGCTCCGGGCCTGACCGCTCCCAGCCTGGCAGCCGCTGCCCCGAGCCTGGCCGCACACGACCCGGCTGCTCCGGGCCTGGCCGCTCCCAGCCTGGCAGCCGCTGCTCCGGGCCTGGCCACACCAGCCCCGGCTGCTCCCCCGGGCCTGGCTGCTCCCAGCCTGGCAGCCGCTGCTCCGGGCCTGGCCGCACCCGACCTGGCTGCTCTGGGCCCGGCTGCCCCGGGCCCGGCCACTCCGAGCCTGGCCACTCCCGACCTGGATGCTCTGGGCTTGGCTACTGCTGTTCTGGGTCTGGCTGCTCCCACCCCGGCTGCTTTGGGCCCGGCTTCTCCGGGCCCGGCCACTCCGGGTCTGGGTGTTCCTGGACTGGCCACCCTGGGCTTGGCCGCCTCCGCCTCATGCCTGGCTGCCACTGCCCCAGGTCTGGCTACTCCAGTGCTGGCTGTTGATGCTCTGGTTCTGGCTGCTGTTGTTCTGGGGCCTGGCCGTTGCTGCTCCGGGCCTGGCTGCCACTGCCTTGTGCCTGGCCACTCTAGGCCTGGCCACCGCTGTTCCAACATTCTGTCCTTTTTTTTTCTTTTTTCTTTTTAAAACGCATTTATGTTGCACTGTTGGCTGGTGAGTTGAGTTCTGACTTAGTCTTTGATTTTTCAAGATCTTCTTTGTATTCTTTCTTAAGTAATTTTACTATTTTTTGCTCTCACTTGATTTCTTCACATTGAGAACTTCTTTGGTTTCTTCCTCCTTGTCCTGGGAGCTCAGCAGGTTGGCCTGTGGCACCCCTTTATTCTCCGCGGGCTCCTGCGCTGCTTCAGCCTGTTGCCGGGATGGCGCCGCCCCAGGAAGCAGCCCCCGGCCTTGGCTCCATTGCCCGAGCTCAGTGGTCAAAGGCTCAGGGGCACCCACGCCCCCAGGGGCCCCGTGGCCCGCCGCCTTGCTGGTGCCCGGTTGGCTGGAGTCCGGCAGGGGCTTCCGCTCCCCTCCGCGTTCCCCCAGCCTAGAGCTTTTTTTTTCTCCTTCCCGCTAGGGAAGCCCAGCATCAGAGTCAACAGACTGTCCTCTGCGCGCAGTTTGCGCGAGTCCCGGGGGCCCGGCCTTTCGCCACTCTCCCCAGACTCCACCTCACAGCCCCGTCTCCCTCTGCCTGAGCCTGGGTTCCCAGGGATTAGCCCAGAACTGGGGTTCGGAGCAGTCCGGACTGAGGCTCAGCGCTGCCGGAGGCCTTGTTTCTTCCGGCTAGGGCAACCCAGCATCAGAGTCAACATTCAGTCCTCTGCGCGCATTGCGCGCGACTCCCGGGGCCCTGCTTTTCGCTGTTTTTCCGCCTCACAGCCCCGTCTCCCCCTGCCGGAGCCTGGGTCCCCAGGGTCTGGCCCATAACTGGGGCTCAGCGCTGCCGGTTCGGGGGGGCTCAGCGCTGCTGGTTCGGGGGTTCAGCCCAGGCTGGGGGTTTTATTTCCTTCCTGCTAGGGAAGGAAAGGCAGCTCCCCGCCCTCTCCTCCTCTCCGGCTGCGACCTCTCCGTGCGCCCGGGCGGGCGGGCGGGCGCGCAGCATGTCTCCGTACCTTAGGCTTTTTTTCAGCTCCTCTGATTTTCCTTCTGGTTTTCTCTTTTCTTCTTGTTGTAGAATTTTCAGTCAGTCGACTACCTGTAGCTCTGGGCAATGTCCACTCTACATTTTAGTTGTATTCCATTGAAATTGTTGTGTGCTGCTGCGGCTAGATGTCTACCCGAGCAGCCATCTTGGATCCTCCTCTGTTCTTGTACTTTCAAAGCTTTTTTTTTTTTTTTCAAATATCTCATGGTCCTCTTATTCCATGCACACATATTTAATACCAGTGTACCTTCCTATCAAATTAAACCTTTTATCACTAGGAAGTGACTTTCTTTATCTCCAATAACACTTTTTGTTATAAACTATACTTTGCATGTTTATTGCTTTGGTTAGAATTTGCCTGGCAGATCTTTTGCATGCTTCTGCTTTCAACTTCTCTGTTTTAGATGTGTCTCTGGGGCATACGGTTGGACTTTATTCTTTATTCTGTCTGAAAGTTCCTTCCCTTTAACAAGGTCAATTAGCCTTTCGCATTTAATATAATCAGCAACGTATTTGGATTATGTACTAACCTTTTAGTTTTCTTATCTACCAGCTTTATTTCTTTTTCTCTCCTTTCCTTCCTGCCTTAAATTAACATTCTTTTGCTTCATTTTTTTCCCTTACTAAGTTTGGAAGTTATAAACTTGCTTCTAAGAGATTAACCTACAGGTTACAGCGATGGTGGGGAACCACTGCCTGAGGCCGCTGTTTCAGATCTGGAAGTGTTATCTGATTAGACCCTCCATATCTGCACTCCCACCTTCCTCCTTTCTAAGAAAGGCATATGTTCTAGGTCCTTTTTGGTTCATGTCTAACTGTGTTTTATTGTGGTCCTTTGTAGAATTAGTTGGGGGCTGATTGTGAACGTTTGCTGATAAACCCGCAAGTGTCTGTAGTCTCGGTCTGTCTGTCCTGTTAACCCCCGTCCCGGGCTGTGGATTCTGCTTCTCTGGGGTCTCCCTTTCCGTGGAGCTGGTTTTCCTTGTGAGTCTGAGGACTCGGCTGGGCTCAGCTTTGACTCACGGCACTGCTTCTCTCCACTGTCACCTCGCAAAGACTGAAGGAGCTTCATCGGAGCCTGGGAGCACCTGGCCCACGGGGCGGGGCTGCTCGGGGGCTGCTGGAAGGGTGGTCCCAGCAAAGGGCCACTCCCGCTGAGACTCAGAGCAGAGTCACTTGCCCTAAACCACACGCCTGTGAACAACGGGGCCCGTCTCTGGCCAAAGCCACACTGCTCCCACTAACCAGCACCTGCCCCAGGCACCTGTCCCAACAAGTCCGTTCTCCATTCTTCCTTTTCTTTTCTTTTTTCTTTTTTTTTTTTTCTTTCTTTACTGATTTTCTTTAGAGAGAGAGGAAGGATACGGAATAGAGAGGTAGGAACATCAATGAAGAGAGAGAAACATTGGTGGGCTGCCTCCTGCACGCCCCACAAAGGGGACTGAGCCCTGACGGGGATTCTATCCCTGACCCACGGACTCATAGGTCGATGCTCAACCACTGAGCCACACCGGCCGAGCCCATTCCCCATAATTAGTCAACTCAGAATGTCTCATATATATTTTTTTTACTCAAAAAAAAGAAGTTGACAATAACCTGCAAACCGTAGGACGCGGCGTAGCTCTCCCTCTCCCCGCCCTTCCCCTGCCCCGTCCTCTCCCTCCCTTGCTCCCGGATGGACATCCCCAGAGCAGCAGGAGCCCGGGTGCGGCGGGGAGAGCTAGGGGGGCGGGGGCCGCGGGGTGGGCCCGCCCAGCGCCGTCTCGCAGACCCAGCGGTAGGGCCTCCTGCAGACGTCGTCGTTCCAGCGGCCGTCGTCGGTGAGGTGGGCGCAGTCCTCGCCGCCCCCCAGCCCGTGGCCGGTCCAGTCGTCCGGCTGGTCTGGCCTCCAGTTCCTAAGGAGACCAGCCAGATGGGTCCCGGGAGGCCAGGCCTCAGCCAGGCCAGGGCCCTCCTGCCCTGGGGCCCGCCGCGGCCAAGGGCGGGGAGGGGCGCGGGAGCCGGCCCGGCGCACACACTCACTTGAAGCCCTTCTCGTAGTCCGTCCCGTCCACCCATCTCCAGGTCCCGTCCTGGTCGGTGAGGCCCATCCAGGTGTTCACAGGGCCCATGTGGTGCTGGACAAACCTCTGGGGAGAGAGGAGGATGGTGACCCCTCCAGAGGGCAGCCAGGCTCCCCGCGAGCCCCGGGAGCCCTCACCTGCTCCTGCCAGGAGCCCACCACCACCAGGTGCCCGTCCTCCAGCTGGCAGTACTTCTCAGCCTCCGGCCAGGGCTTGGCCGTGCGCGAGAACCAATAGCAGTTGCCTTCGTGCTCCACCCAGTTCACAGGGCAGCAGTTCTGGGAGCCTGGAGGGGGCAGGTAGGGGAGGGGGCGGCTGAGCTGCTGCCCAGGGGGAGGGAAGCAGGATGAGAGTGGGGGCCGCGCCCCCTGCCTCCTCACCGTTGCCCTGGAGGATGGCCAGCTGGCAGCTCAGGCTCCGTATGTCAGACACGAAGGTCTTCACGTGGAACAGCAAGCTGGCGTGATCTGGGGGGACAGAGGGCGGGGGGGGGGGGATGAGGAGGGGAAGAGGTCAGTGTGAACACGGGGTGGGGGGTGGCGGCTGGGAAGGGCAGTCAAGGTGTCCCTGCCACAAGACCCCGTGGTTTGATGGAGAGAAAACGTTTGTCAATAAAACATTTGAGAATTGCAGGGCGGGGGGGAAGCGGGGGGGCCGGGGGGGGGGAGAATTTGTTGTCAAGCCTCCTTGGTTTGGCCCAGCCGGTGTGGCTCAGTGGCTGAACGCTGACCTAGGAGCCAAGAGGTCACAGTTTGATTCCCCAGTCGGTAGGAGGTGTGCTAAAGCCAGTCAGTCAATGGTTCTCATCTTTGATGTTTCCATCTCTCTCCCTCTCCCTTCCTCTCTGAAATCAATAAAAATACATGTGAAGGAGAAGAGGAAGAAGAAGGAGGAGGAGGAGAAGGAGAAGAAGAAGAAGAAGAAGAAGAAGAAGAAGAAGAAGAAGAAGAAGAAGAAGAAGAAGAAGAAGAAGAAGAAGCAGCAGCTGCAGGAGAAGGAGAAGGAGAAGGAGAAGGAGAAGGAGAAGGAGAAGGAGAAGGAGAAGGAGAAGGAGAAGGAGAAGGAGAAGGAGAAGGAGAAGGAGAAGGAGAAGAAGAAGAAGAAGAAGAAGAAGAAGAAGAAGAAGAAGAAGAAGAAGAAGAAGAAGAAGAAGAAGAATCCCTGAGAGACCCAGGTGGGCGCACACCCTGTGTAACACACGTAGGCACGGCGCCCGGGCTCCCTCTCTGACCTTGGCTCAGGTCCTGCTGCTGTTTCTCCAGCTGGGACTCCAAGGACTTCATCTTCCTGCCCACTCCGCCTCCTGGGGGAGAAGCGTGCTCAGTGTCCCCGCATCTTCAGCCCCCACAGCCCCCCTCAGTCCCCGCAGCCCCCCCAGCCCCCCTCAGTCCCCGCAGCCCCCCCAGCCCCCTCAGTCCCCGCAGCCCCCACAGCCCCCCTCAGTCCCCGCAGCCCCCTGCAGTCCCCGCAGCCCCCCCGCCCCTCAGTCCCCACAGCCCCCGCCCCACAGCCCCCCTCAGTCCCCGCAGCCCCCCTCAGTCCCCACAGCCCCCCCTCAGTCCCCACAGCCCCCCTCAGTCCCCGCAGCCCCCCCTCAGTCCCCGCAGCCCCCCCAGCCCCCCTCAGTCCCCGCAGCCCCCCCAGCCCCCTCAGTCCCCGCAGCCCCCCCAGCCCCCTCAGTCCCCGCAGCCCCCACAGCCCCCCTCAGTCCCCACAGCCCCCCTCAGTCCCCGCAGCCCCCCTCAGTCCCCACAGCCCCCCCTCAGTCCCCACAGCCCCCCTCAGTCCCCGCAGCCCCCCCTCAGTCCCCGCAGCCCCCCCAGCCCCCCTCAGTCCCCGCAGCCCCCCCAGCCCCCTCAGTCCCCGCAGCCCCCCCAGCCCCCTCAGTCCCCGCAGCCCCCACAGCCCCCCTCAGTCCCCGCAGCCCCCCCAGCCCCCTCAGTCCCCGCAGCCCCCACAGCCCCCCTCAGTCCCCACAGCCCCCCTCAGTCCCCTCAGCCCCCGCAGCCCCCCTCAGCCCCCCTCAGTCCCCACAGCCCCCCTCAGCCCCCGCAGCCCCCACAGCCCCCCCCCTCACCGTGGACCAGCAGGTCCTTGACCTCGGCCTCGGTGCTCGCGGTGAAGTTGCTGAACGTCTCTCTCAGGGCCTGCAGCTCCTCCTTCAGCGTGGAGTCTGGCAGGAGGTGTGGGTTGGACAAGAGGGGGCTGTGTCCACTGTCATGGCCACCAGCACTCCCCCCACCACTGCTCCCTGCCCTGCCCACCCCGGGCACCCACTCTGGGATCCGATCACACAGACGACCAGCAGCAGCAGGAGGCTGAGGCCCAGGGCCAGCAGCAGGAGGCAGGGTCCGGAGCAGAGCCGCTGCAGGAGCGGGCGGCGCGGAGGCGGCCCTGCAACAGGAGGGGTCTCAGGGCCGAGGCCGAGGCTGGGCAGCCTGGTCCTGGGGGTCCGGCTGAGGCTCCTCTTGTGGACTCGGAGGAATCGCAGGGGTTCAGAAGCATGAGCACGTCCCAGCCAGAGTGGCGGGGTTGGCTGGAGCAGCCTCCCATACCCCACAGGGTCAGAGTGCAATTCTCAGTCAGGGCACATAGCCAGGTGGCTGTTTGGGGCACGTGCACTTACGTTTCTCTCTCTCCCTCCACCTTCCTCTCTCTCATTAAAATCAATAAAAGTACCAGCTGCATGGCTCAGTGGTTGAGCATCGATTGACCTATGAACCAGGAGGTCACAGTTCGATTTCCAGTCAGGGCACATGCACAGGTTGCGATCTCCATCCTCAGGGGGGTGTGCAGGAGGCAGCCGATCAATGATTCTTTCATCAATGAGTCCCTCATCGTTAATGTTTCTATCTCCCTCTCCCTTCCTATCTGAAATCAATAGAAATATTTTAATAAATAATAAATAAAAGCATGTTCTCAGGTGAGGCTTTAAAAGAAGAAGAAGAAATACGGGCAGTGGGTGATGGAGGGCAGAGGCATCTGGAGGTGGGGAAGGGAAGGGGGTTGCAGATGGAAGCAAAGCTTTGACCTGCCCGAGCCCGACCTGGCCCTGGGCTTTGGCTGACGCCCAGTGGCCTGACTGTGTCAGTGCAGCTGATGAAACTTCAGAGCCTTGAGGATGGAGTTTGTGAGCTGCAGACCAGCTGGGGCCTCAGGGTTCCTCCCTGAAGGCGGGGCAGGAGACAGGGGTTTCTTCCTCCCTCCCGGAGCCCCACTGCTCTGGCTGGGGCGGGCGGAGAAGGTGGGGTAGCCAGACTTAAGTCCCTCCAGTTGCTCCCCCCAGGCAGCCCTGTTCCAGAGCTGGAGGGTGGGGCCTCCCCTCCATTCTCGTGTCCCCTTTCCCCATCAGAGCTCACTGCCATCCCACCCCCAGGTACTGGATCCTCGCTCAGCCCCAACAGCATTCCTGCTCACGTGAGAAAAAATTGGGGTCTTTTTATTATTGTTGATGGTGATGATTTTTAGATAGAGAGGGGGGAAAGATCAATGTGACAGAGGAACAGCAATCAGTTGCCTCCTATATGTACCTCGACTGGGGATCGAACCTGCACCCTAGCTATGCACCCTGATGGGAATTGAACCTGTGACTATGGTCCTCCAACTGAGCCACACGGCCTGTTTTTCGATGTAGGAGGGCCTTATCCTCCCTCAGATCAGAGATCACTCAGCCTCTTCACAGAAATCTTATCCTTTGACCAAACTGATCACACACACACACACACACACACACACACACACACACAGCTCGCTGGTGTTGAAAGCGGGAAGGAGGAGGGGCCTAACTCCTTTCATTACCCCCCAAACTCATGGGCCCACCCCCTCCCAGGGCCCTGAGAAGTGGGTGGCAGGGCAAGGATCAAGGGTACGAATCCCCAAATCAGGGCCTCCAGCCCCACACCCTCTGCCTCCCCTGCGCCTCAGGCGCTCGCTATTTCTGTGCCGGGGCAGCCAGAGGCAGAGGCAGGGGCACAGAAAGAAGCCGGAGCCACCCAATGCTCGCCCTTCAGAAATGGTGGCGACCCTCACCTCGTCTGACCTGATGGTCATTCTCGTCCAGATGCTGAAGATCTTGATACTCTCTTGTCATGGTGGGGCTGGCTGGACCCCGGACCCGGTCAAGGCTGAAGTTGGGTTGAGATTGGGACTGAACAGAGCTGGGGGACGGGGTCCTTTCCCTTTCTGAGGGACCTGTGGCTACGTGCAGCCCTCTCTTCTTCCCCTCATTCCATCCCAGGCCTGTCCCCCAAAACCCATTCCCTGGAGTTTTCCCACCCAGCCCCTCGCCCCGACAGCTGGTCCCATACCCCCCTCCCCTCACTCACCCCCAGGCAGTGCTCCGGCCTTTCTTCCCCTTTTACTTGCTGGTGGTCTCGAGGGTGAGTCCTGGATCCCTCAATGCTGTGCAGATCCCAGGCCAGGACGGAGGCTGAGGCCTGGAGAGCGGGGTGTGCGGGCAGCCCCGGGCCGCAGGAGCGGGTCCATGCAAGGCCTGAGCCCCGTGCTTACGCGCGTCTATGTGTGTGTCCCTGGTGTACCGAGCCTGGCATCTCAGTGCCAGGGACTTTGGACTCAAACAGAGGTGGAAGTGGATTTGGAGCCCTGGGGGGTGTGGGGGTGGAAGCCGGGGGATGGGTTGCCTCTGCCTCCCTCTCCAGGGAGGGGAGTCTCCAGGTCTGTCCCCCTCACCTCCACATGCTGTCACTCCACTCCTGCCTGGGCACAGCCTCTCTGCCCCTCACCCCTGTCCCGTCTGCCTCTGAATTCCCGGAATGGTTCGTGTCTCCAAATATCCCCGGAGCAGAGGGACCCATGCATTCTTTGCTCTTGCCCAACCTGGGCCTGTGACCCTGGCATCTGAGCTTAAGGCCCAGCTTCCTTGGGGCTCTGCCTCCAGACTCCCCAGCTCAGGCTGAGGGGCTTCAGTCTCCTGAAGAGTCAAGTTCCCAGCAACATGGGGGGTGAGGGGTGTAGGGAGAGGCAGGAGAGCAGGCATCCCCCTCACCAGAGATTGGTGCCCACAAACCTCCATGGACTCGGGCTGTGCGCCTGGGGCTCTTAGTTCATTAACTCCTCTCATCCCCAGAGCTGGTGGGGAAACTCGGAGCCTGAGAGCTAAGCGCTAACCCAGGTTCACGCCAAAGGGAGCGCACAGCGGGGACTGGAACTGGGCCTGAGGCCGCAGAGATGGCTCATGGTTCAGCACCGACCTATGAACCAGGAGGTCACAGCTCGATTCCAGGTCAGGGCACATACCTGGGCTGCAGGCCAGATCCCTAGTGTGGGGCATGTAGGAGGCAGCCAATCAATGATTCTCTCTTATCACTGGTGCTTCTATCCCTCTCTCTTTCTCCCTTCTTCTCTGAAATAAATAAAAATATTTTTTAAATAAAATAAAATACTAGAGATAATCCCCAGAAATTAAAAATTTGCTAAAAACAAAACTTTGCCACAATGGTGGTATTTCTTCATCCACCCTTTACCTTTATGAATATATATATGCCTTGCCCTAGCTGGTTTGGCTCAGTGGATAGCTTTGGCCTGAGGGCTGAAGGGTCCTGGGTTCAATAAAGAGTAACTGCAGGGCTCATAAAGAGTTGCAGGCCGGATAGTGGTGAAGTCAGGTCTGTACGCCGATAGCCTGGCCGTGGAATAGGTCAGGGGTCAGAGTGAGTTACTGAGAGGAGGGAGTGAGGTCAGGAGGCTGCTGGTTGGCCTCAGTGAGGCCAGACGGGAAGGTCGGGAAGGTGGCCTGGGCAGGAGTTGGCAGAGGCATGGCGTGGACCTGTGGCTGCTGAATGTGCCGTGGGGGGAGGGGGGAGGGGGAGGGGGCAGGGGGCTGGCAGCAGCACACCCGCCAGGACCCAGAAGACGGTGAGATGGATCTGATTCCACAGAGATTCCGGGGCTGGAGACACGGAAGTCATGATCTTGGGGCAGCCCAGATGTGGCCAGTGCCCGGGGCGACGCCCCCAGCGAGGGGCACAGCGGGAGAAGCAGCCAGGACAGCCTGCCGGGGCTGTTTGGGGCACGTGCACTTACGTTTCTCTCTCTCCCTCCACCTTCCTCTCTCTCATTAAAATCAATAAAAGTACCAGCTGCATGGCTCAGTGGTTGAGCATCGATTGACCTATGAACCAGGAGGTCACAGTTCGATTTCCAGTCAGGGCACATGCACAGGTTGCGATCTCCATCCTCAGGGGGGTGTGCAGGAGGCAGCCGATCAGTGATTCTTTCATCAATGAGTCCCTCATCGTTAATGTTTCTATCTCCCTCTCCCTTCCTATCTGAAATCAATAGAAATACGTAAGTAAGTAAATAAATAAATAAATAAATAAATAAATAAATAAATAGAAGCACGTTCTCAGGTGAGGCTTTAAAAGAAGAAGAAGAAATACGGGCAGTGGGTGATGGAGGGCAGAGGCATCTGGAGGTGGGGAAGGGAAGGGGGTTGCAAATGGAAGCAAAACTTTGACCTGCCCGAGCCCGACCTGGCCCTGGGCTTTGGCTGACGCCTAGTGGCCTGACTGTGTCAGTGCAGCTGATGAAACTTCAGAGCCTTGAGGATGGAGTTTGGGGCCTCAGGGCTCCTCCCTGAAGGCGGGGCAGGAGACAGGGGTTTCTTCCTCCCTCCTGGAGCCCCACTGCTCTGGCTGGGGCGGGCAGAGAAGGTGGGGTAGCCAGACTTAAGTCCCTCCATTGCTCCCTCCAGGCAGCCCTGTTCCAGAGCTGGAGGGTGGGGCCTCCCCTCCATTCTCGTGTCCCCTTTCCCCATCAGAGCTCACTGCCATCCCACCCCCAGGTACTGGATCCTCGCTCAGCCCCAACAGCATTCCTGCCCACGTGAGAAAAAATTGGGGTCTTTTGATTATTGTTGATGGTGATGATTTTTAGATAGAGAGGGGGGAAAGATCAATGTGACAGAAGAAGAGCCCAGGATTGCCAGGCACTGAATGGAGACAGTGACCTCCTGGGCTGGCCGGGGTGCCAGACTCCAGGCTGCCGGGGAGAGGAGGATGGCTCCGCAGGAGGGAGGCAGGGAGGGAGGCCCGGGGCAGTGAGCCCGCCGGGAGGCTGTTCAGGGGAAGAGCCTGAGTTCCCCTTCCACTGGGCTTTTCCTCCTTCTCATCCCGGGCAGCACCGCCAGCCGCTGAGCTCCCGCTCCTTCTGGGAGGAGGCACGGTCCCCACATCCCAGAGGGCAGTGAGCACCTTCCCTGGGGCAGGCCGGGCACTGGGGGGCGTCTGAGCTATGAGGCCACATGGGCCCTGACCGCCCTCTGCCTGGCCCCTCAGCACCGCCCTCTGCCTGGCCCCCGTCAGCACCGCCCTCTGCCTGGCCCCCCTCACCACCTCCCTCTGCCTGGCCCCCCTCAGCACCTCCCTCTGCCTGGCCCCCCTCAGCACCGCCCTCTGCCTGGCCCCCCTGAGCACCGCCCTCTGCCTGGCCCCCCTGAGCACCGCCCTCTGCCTGGCCCCCTCAGCACCTGCCGCAGACCCCGGTCCTCCGGGCACCTCAGGCCTCAGGAAGAGGGGAGAGAGGAGGCTCAGGGCTGGCTCTCCACAGGGGTGACCTACGGTTCCCCAACAGGAGAGGCTGCGCAGCGCGGGGGGCACTGAGGCAGGAGGTGCAGGAGGAGGCGCCTAGGGCTGGAGCCTCAGGGCCAGGGCTAGCGAAGGGAGGGAGGCGGGGGCGCCTGGGGCTGCAGGAAGAGATGACGCTGCCCCCCAGTTTAAACAGGAGCCGAACCCCAGGGCTTCACTATCCGCTCCTGCAGCTGCAGTGCCTGGGCCCGGCCACCGGCCTCTCCCCGAGACTCCCTCCTCCAGGCGCCCCCTCTTCAGCCAGGACAACAGGCTCTGTGACAGGGCCCTCCTGCTCCTCTCCTATTTGGCTTTTATTTTATTTTTTTAATATATTTTATTGATTTTTTTACAGGGAGGAAGGAAGAGGGATAGAGAGTCAGAAACATCGATGAGAGAGAAATATCCATCAGCTGCCTCTTGCACACCCCCCACCGAGGATGTGCCTGCAACCAAGGCACATGCCCCCAACCGGAATCGAACCTGGGACCCTTCAGTCCGCAGACCGACACTCTATCCACTGAGCCAAACCGGTTTCGGCCCTACTTGGCTTTTAGAAAAACTTAAAACTCCAAATGCTTCCGGTTTTATTTAACTTTCCAGTTTCCCCAGTAAGTGCGACTAGCGCATGAAGCCAATGGCAATCATGGTTCCGTGTTCCCCTGACCGGTTTGCTCAGTGGCTGGAGCGTCTGGGTGAGAATTTAAAAAAATATGTGATTCCCGTTTCCTAAGTGCCAGGAAGGGAGCCTAGGGCTTTACCCGGATTATCCCCTTTTCCTCACGGAATCCTGGGAGGGGTGGTTATGTTCCCAGTTCACAGCTGGGAAAACGAGGCTCGGAATAAAGCCCTTTGCCCCTTTGGCACCCACAGGGAGTGACTCCGCTTCTCCATCCTACCCTCCCGGCCATCCCGGACTGCCTGCCCTCTGCTGCCCCCTACCGCACCCTCTCCACCAGCACTCTCTTCTCTCAGCCACCAACAGGACTTCCTGTGGCACTGTTTTACTTTACTTTTTTATTGATTTCAGAGAAAAAGGGAGAGGGAGAGAGAGATAGAAACATCAGCAATGAGAGGGAATCATTGATTGGCTGCCTGCTGCACACCCCCCACTGGGGAACGAGCCCACATTGACTGGGAATTGAACCCTGACCTCCTGGTTCCTGGGTCAATGCTTAACCACTGAGTCACACCAGCCAGGCCTCTGGCACTATTTTAAAAATCCATAGAAAGTCCTCAGGCCTTGTATTCCCTGATCCAGCTATTCATCTTCCTTCCCCCATCCTGCCGCACCTTCGTCCTCCGCTGTCTGCCCACCCAAACTTCTTCCCGCCTTGCTGTTCCTCTCTCCACCTCGCACACACGCCCACCCATCACTCAAGCCTCGCTCACATGTTCCTCCAAGAGGCTTGTGGCCACCAGTCAAACTAGCAAGGACAAAACCCGGCAGTCCTTTTCTTTGCTTAACAGCATCATCATCATCTTAAATTATCAATATTCCCTTACTTCCTGCTGTCCGCTGCCCCCTCCCCCAGCTCCACCCCAAGGCCTGAGGGTAGGCACATTGCATTCCAGCATTTTTATTTATTTTTATTTAATATATTTTATTGAGATTTTACAGAGAGGAAGAAAGAGGGATAGAGAGTTAAAAACATCAATGAGAGAGAAACATCTACCAGTTGCCTCCTGCATACCCCCCATTGGGGATGTGCCTGCAACCAAGGTACATGCCCTTGACCGGAATCAAACCCAGGGACCTGTCAGTCCACAGGCCGACGCTCTATCCACTGAGCCAAATCGGTGTTGGCGCATTCCCAGCATTTTAAACACTGCCTGACACTGAGGAAGATCCAAACAGTGTTTGTTGAAACAATAGAGGGGCCAGGATTTGAGCCTCAGTGCGCCCGTCCGTTCACACACCGTCTCTTCAGCCAGCCAAGGACGAGCCTCCTAGATCTGGGAGACTACATCCCAAACTGCTAACGCACTTCCCTCTGAACTCTGTGGGATGAGATGGAGAGGGAACTTTTTTTTTTTTTGAGTCATATGTTTTTCCATATTTACTTGAATTTTGTTAAGGTATATGTATTATTACTTTTGTAATCTAAAAAATAATGCATGTGCCTGGCAGGTGTGGTTCAGTGGTTGAGCATCAACCTATGAACCAGGAGGTCACGGTTCGATTCCCGGTCAGGCACATACATGCTCAATCCCCAGTGGGGGGCATGTAGGAGGCAGCTGATCAATGATTCTCTCTCATCGATATTTCTACCTCTCTCTCCCTCTCCCTTCCTCTCTGAAATGAAAAAAAATATTTAAAATGCATACAAACTAGGTAATTTCACCTTCTCAGCGGACTCTCCTTAAGGCTCTTAAGCCTCACAGCCAGACACCTCATCTGCCCACGCCTTCCCAGCTCAGATGCCTCCCTTCGGCCCACGGCATCGAACATCAGCACGGCCTGAAAGGTGTTTCTCCAGAGCCGAGCTGTCAGGATTATTTGAAAAACAGGGTGGGGAGCAGAGCTTTTCCCCCAGCAAGACATCACATCTCCTGGGAGGCTCCCGGAAGGCAGCCCCGGCCCCGCCTCAGGACTGGGCTCTGTTGGGCAGAGGCCTGCACAGCACTGCACCCGGCAATCCAGAGCGAGCACGCCTCTGAGTTCCCCCTCTGTCCTGAGATCGCCGGGGCTGGGCAGCCACACCCCCCAGAACCGCTGCCTGGGGGATCGGTTTTTACATCCCACTCTGCACTGGGGCCGGGGTAGCTGTGAAACTGCCCCTTTGGTTGGCCGGAGCGCCCAGTGGTTGGGTGTGGACTCCGCACCAAGAAGCGCTGGTTGGTCGAGACACCTGCCTGGTTGTAGACTTGATCCCCAGTGGGGGAGGCAGCCGATCGATGTTTCAATCAAATCAATAAAAGCATATTAAAAACAGTTGTTAAGCTGTCCTTTTGTCCTGTCCAGGACGTGGCCATTACTCTTAGTGCCCTCCTCAGCCTCCCCCCACCGGCTCTGGGACCAGCGATGGTTCATTTCCGTGGCGGCCTTCTGGGGGAGCCGTCAGACTGGGAGCAGCGGCAGCAGGGAAGCTGAGAACCCTGCTCTCCAGGCCGCACCTGAGCAGCCTGTTAGGCCTGATGCCTGGAAAACCTGGCTCCCTGCGAGGACAAGGCCCTGGCCGGGTGGCTCAGTCCACTAGAGCATCATCCCCATATGCCAAGATTGTGGGTTCAAGCCCCAGGCAGGGCACACACAGAGGCATCCAATGCTAGCAAATGCATAAGCAGGTGGAACAACAAATATCCATGTTTCTCTCACTCTCTCTCTTCTGCTCTCTAAAACCAACAAAATTTAAGAACTAATAAAAGGACTAGAACGTTGTTTTTATATCTAATAATAGTATATGTGCATGTGTGTGTATGAAATACAATAGATAATGAACCATTTCCTTTTCTGCCTGGTCTACCAGGAAGCTCAGAAATTATCTTTATCCTCATAGCTACAGCAATTGTTTCTCCTATTTTTTTAAAATATATTTTATTGCATTTTTACAGAGAGGAAGGGAGAGGGACAAAGTTAGAAACATCAATGAGAGAGAAACATTGATCAGCTGCCTCCCACACACCTCCTACTGGGGATGTGCCCGTAACCAAGGTACATGCCCTTGACCAGAATCAAACCTGGGACTTTTCAGTCCGCAGGCCGAAGCTCTATCCACTGAACCAAACTGGTTAGGGCTGTTTTTCCTATTTTTATCTTTAGCATTAAGTTCTACTTTCCTACCCTTATTAATTGCAAAACTGCTTTAAATCTTCTCTGTAGAGATGAGGGATAAAGAAACCCAATGAATACGTATTTACACACCACTTCTCATCAGCAAGCCTCTGTAAGATGGTCGCCAGGGCCCAGCTCTGGCCACAGCTCCATGGACGTGAACAGAAAGTGTCCTGTTTCCCTTCACAGACCTCAGGCTGCCTGAGGGGACCACAGCCCTGGGGAGGGGTCAGGCTGAGCTGCGTTTTCAGGAACTGATGCCTCTTTGTAGGGCTGTCGATGAGGGGTGAGAGGACAGAGCGCCAGCCCCTGCAGGCTCCTCCCTTTTGCAGGTTCCCTCCAAGGCCCCTTCAGACCCCTCTACCCTGGGGGCGGGGGGAGGGGAAGGGCATGTACAGGAGGATCTGACTTTATCGGACTCAGCCCTACGTTCCCACCCTGTCTCCCTCCTCACCCAAGTCCCAAATGATCAGGCCACACACCAGGCTTCAAGTATCTGTCTCTTCCTTTCACTCTCTCAAAAGAAAATAAATAAATAAATTGCAGAAGGCGGCAGCATTTCCAATCTTCCCCTGGACACCCGACCCCCACCCCCTCCCCCTCCCGCCCACATTCCCGCTCCCTAGACCCATCCCTCCCCTTTCCCAAAAAAAAATCCCAGGGGAAAAAAAAGCCACAGTTAACCCTTCCACTCATGCAAACCAGCGAAGATAAAAGGTGGGGGCATGTGGAAGGCAGGGGCCCTCACTGGAGTCCCCTACTTATCCCCCAAAGACCACCTTTGAGAAGAAAAAAAAAAAGGAAAAAATAAATGAGAAATCGAGGGAGTCATGTGTGGGCAGGGTGACCCCGGAGCCGGCCTCAGGACAGCGAGGCCGGGCCTGCGTCCCCAGCGGAGCTCCTGGGGGGAAGCCTGCGTCTGGAATGTGTGTGTGGAGGTGGGGGCCCCCGGCGGGTCTGTGTGTGCGTTGGGGGCGGGCAGGGCCAGGGAGCCAAAGGGGCAAGAGCCCAGGACCAGGAGCCTGGCTCCCCCCAGACCCAAGGTTCCTGGGGCTCAGGAGCCCAGTTCTGGGGTGCGGGATACATGCAGGGGAGTGTCCCCCTCCAGTGGGCTGGATCCGGTTAGAAAGGAAATAAATAAGAAAGGGGCGGGAGGGAGGCCGGGGAGTCGAACGGCTTGGGCAATTCAGTCCAGACCAAGGGCCCAGGCGACGAGGCGGGCGAATCCGGCCGCGCCAGGCAGGAATCAGAGTCTCTCTCGGGCTGGGACCCAGATGTAGGGGCCGGAGAGGTCCTCGATGATGCGCTTCACCTTGTGGTAGATCTCCTCGAAGCTGTCGCCCTCCACGATGGCTGGGGGGAGTCACGGGGGAAGGGGAGAGTGATCCAGATGAGCCAGATGTCTGGCCAGGGGTGGCACAGCCCAAAGGGGCACCCTTTTCTGCTTCTCTCAGCCCTGAGCCATGCGGTCGCACCCCCCCCGGGGGGGGGGGGCACCTGTATCTAAGCCGCCCCCCAGTGGCCTCCACGCCCCTCCGGCTCCTCCCGGCCTCTTCCCGGAACCGGCCAGGGCTCACCCGAGAAGCACTCCGTGAACTCCTGCTCCAGCTTGGTGGCTCTGTCGAAGGCTTTTCGGGCTTGCTCCTCTGTGATCCGTTTGTTAATCTCTCTGTGGAGAGTGAGCGAGAGGCACGCCTGAGGGCGGGCCCCCCTCTGCCGTTCTCCTCCAGCCGGGGATGTTAAATTGCAAATGGTCTCTTCTCATTTGGAACACGAAGCAAAAAAATAAGAATTCCCAATATCCTCTGGGGCCACAGAGGACTGCCCCTACCCACAACCCACCAGCCAGGTATGGCCACTCCAGGGACCTCTCCAGTGCCTCATCCTCCCAGCCTTCAGCCCCAGTGAAGGGATTCAGACTCCAACTCCCAACAGCTCTGGAGGCCCTGGCTAGCCCCAGCAGGTGTGTGCCCCAGAGGCTGCTGGGAGTTGTAGTCCTGCCTAGTCCAAGGAAGAAGAGAGAGGCCTGAGATTCCTGCATCCTCTGGGATCCAGCTCTCTGTGCAGATTCCCCTCCAGGGCTGCGGGGAGAGTTCGAAAGAGGCCTCCGAGGCCCGAGGCCCAGGGCCAAGGTGTGGGGAGCGGAGGGGAGGCCCCCTGGGACCATACTCACAGCACATTCTCCAGGGAGCGGGGGCGGATGAAGATGGCGATAGGATGCAGGTGGGCCGCCTGCAGCCGCCGCACGGCATTGGCTGAGACATCAAGGATGCAGTGCTTCCCCTGGGGCAGGCAGGGTGGGCGGAGGGGGGCCAGCAGGAGGCGGGGAAGGACAGACAGAGGTACCAGGACAGGACACAGTACATGGAAAGGCAGGAAACAAAGGAGGTTGGCCAAAAAGGAAGTGACGGGGATGTCAAAAGACACATGGGCCGAGAGTCAAGGTGAGAAGGGGGTATGGACAAAGTGGAAGACAGAGAGAAAACGGGAAGGAGCAGACAGCATGGGAAGGGGCCAGCCAGGAAGAGGGGATCAGGGAGATGGAGGAAGGTGAGAAACAGGCAGGGAGGAGGCCCAGAAGAAGAGGCAGAGCAGGGCAACGGGGCAGAACAGAGTGGGGGTGGAAGCCGGGACAGGACAGATGGGGCAAGAAAGCAAAGGAAAGAAGAGGGGAAGTAGGATAGAGGGAGGAGGGAGGGGAGGACGGACAGAGGACAGACAGATGGAAGGAACAAGGAGAGACAGATGGGAGGGAGGAGAGGCAGATGGAGGAAGGATCCGTGAAGGGAGAGAGGGCAGGGTGGGGGCAGCAAGGAAAGGAGGTAGCAGAGGAATGGGAGAGGGAAGTGGGGACCCCAGGAACAGAGGAGGGGACAGGGCCAAAGGGGAGTCAGGCCAAATGGGGGGACAGAGGTAGGGGAAGCCAAACCACCAAGGGCAAGGCCACAGGAAGCAACGAGAAATGGGGCAAGGAGGAGGGAAGGGGGGAGAGGGACCAGATGGCGGTGCCGAGTTTGGGGTCAGAAGCAAAGGAGGCCAGGGGGAAGAGCGGGCACAGAGAGCAGGCGTCAGACAGAGTTGCCCAAGAGGAGAAGGAGGTGGAGGAGTGGAGTCGAGACCCAGCAGGGAAAGAGACAGAGAGAAAGAGAGTTAGAGAGAGCTGGAGGAAGGCCATGGGGGGGAGAGGGAGGAAGAGGGTGAGGTGCCCGCCAGGTCCTACCTGCTCCGCCACCTCTCGCACGGACTGGACGCTGGTTCCATACAGGTGGCTGTTGTACTGGCCGGCCTCAATGAACTTGTGCGCTTGAATGTCCTTCTCCATTTTCTCCCGGGACGACACAAAGTGGTAATCCCGGCCATCGATCTCATACTCCCGCTTGGGCCGTGTCGTATCTGCCAGGAAGTCCCCCACCCGCCAAAGATCTAACACCATCCCTTTGGCTCAGAAGCTGTCTGTCAGCCGCTCCGAGCGCTCAGCTGTCCCTCGGGGAAGGGGTTGCAGGGGAGCCTGAGACAGAGGGACAGCCACCTCCTGGCACCCTCCATAGCCGTCCTCCCAGCCTCTGCCTCCAATGGCAACATGCATGGGACATGGAGGGCTGAGACCCACTGCTGAGAATCCCAGTGTCCTCCTGCATGCCAGTGCCCCAGAGTGCTCTGCCCCCACCTCCCACCCACTGGCCCCCCCACTTCCGCCTCCGCCCCAGCCCAGCACTCACGGGGAACACAGGATCCAAACTTGTCGGGGAACTCGGAGAGAAGGTCGTCGTTGGCACGGTCCTTGGTGGGCCCGAGGATGATGATGGGGCGCGCGTAGTGCACTGGGGAGAGAGCGCCGGCTCAGGTGGGGACGGCCCGGAGCGCAGGGGCTGGCCGAGCAGGGCAGGGCTTACCTTCCATCTGCGTCACCGTCTCGTAGCTCAGAACCGAGTCTTCCCGACCTAGTGAGGGTGGGTCACCTGTGAGAGGCTCTGTGATGGGGACTCGGGGCTCCCTGTGGCCTTCCCAGGGACATCAAGCAAAGCTCAGGATTCCCCTCACCCCAGGTCTCCCCAAATGGACCCTACCTACCCTGTGATCCAGAGCTGGAGCCCCAGTCCTAAGAAGAAAGAGCAGGCCATGTGGTTGGCTGAGTTCACCCCGAGAGCCCCTGACGCTTCCACCCAAGCTCACCCCACTTCTACCTACCTTGGCCTTCAACCTTGACCACTCCCGTCGCTCAACCCTACGGGAAACATGGAGGAAGGGGGACAGGGAAATGTCCAGTGAGGAGCCCTACGGCCCCCAATCACTAGACCAGCTCATAACCCCCCCTCCCAGCAGCCCTGGGCCCCTGTGCTCCTAAATGAGATGTCTGCCCCAAAGGCTCATGGGAGCTACAGTGCCGGGAGGGCCAGCACACAGATTCCCAAGAGGCAGAGCAGGCGGTGCCTGTGGCGGGAAGGCGAAGGCCCGGAGCCTCACCGCCGTTTGCTGGGAATAAAGCCGATGTCATCGGTCTCGCTGTCTGAGTGGACCCGCCGCGCCTGCCACCATTCCTCGTCGCTGGCGTCGATGACATGCAGCACGTCCCCAAAGTGGAAGCTAAGGGCCTGGCTCAGGAACCCGCAGTCCTTGGTCTTGTCGTAGTCAAACAGGGCCCTGCAGGACAGAGGGCCCTCGGTCAGAGCCTGGCTGAGGGCCCACCCCCCGGGGCCCAGCCCAGGGGCCGGGGCAGGGCCTACAGCGGAGAGTGGCTCCCTGCACTCCCCCGGAGCAGGGGTCTGAGCCACCCAAGAGCTCAGAGGGACCAAAGCTCCGCCGTGGCTCCCAGTCGCCACAGCCAATAACCCGTTCAGTCCACGCTGTGTCCGCGATCGGACAAGCCCTGGGTTCGGTGCAATTCCTAAGGTCACACCGGAACCCTCCCGGGGAGCCGTCTGCAAAGCACAAGCAGCTCAGTCACTGAGGTCACCTGGAACCGCTCACATTCACAGGAAAAACAACACGCTTTGCAGACCGTTTACCTCAACGTTAGTGAACTCCTGCCAATAAGCCCTAAGCCCCACGGGCAGAGCCAGGGGAGACATGACCACGAAGAGAGCAAAGATGAAGAGCAAGACAGCGGGACAGGAAGCAGAGACGCCAGGGTCAGCCAGCATCCTGTGTGAGTCAGAACTGACCATGCCTGGAGCCAGCCGGACCTGGCAGGGCGGGGAGGGCGAGCGAGACGCTGGACTGAGCCGGGTCACACTGGTGGTGCCATTCAGCAAAAGAGAGAAAACACTGATTCGGCAAGACAGCCAGCACAAGCAGGAGGCAGGGAGGAGCTGTCTGGGATGTGTTGAATGTGAGATGCCTGTGGGACCTCCCAGGGGACACGTCCAGAAGGCAGATGGCCTGATCTGCAGGTCTGAACCCGGGGAAGAGGTGGGGCCAGAGCTGACAGCTCTGAGAGCTAGAGTGGAGCAGCAGGCTGGACCAGGTGAGCGGACAGGAGCCCAGAAGGACAGACAGACACGTGGAGAGGGAGGGAGGGGGAGAGAGAGAGAGAGAGAGAGAGAGAGAGAGAGAGAGAGAGAGAGGGAGGGGAGCCGCTGGGAGGAGGAGCGGGAGGAGGAAGTAAATGCTGCTGGAGGGACAGAGGTGACAGGAGCAGCTGTAGCTCACCTTCCCTGGCCTGCGCATCCCAGAGGGAGATGCAGGCGGCAATGTCCGGGCAATGTTCGGAGTAGCCTGGGGGCCTGCTCTGGCATTAACCTTTGAGTCAGAAAGTTGGGGGGGGGGGGGGGGAGCTTCACAGAATGCAGAGGAGCCAAGCCCAGGAGCCCTCTAACCTGATGTAGAAACCCCGCTTGGGGTTGCTCCGCAGGGAGGCGGTCCCCGAGCCCAGGCTGCTGCTCATGAGCTGCTCCCGGAGGTCGTGGATCTTGGCCTCGAACCGGCTGTACTCTGAGGAAGAGCAGGCGGCTCCTGAGCCGGCCCAGTCCTGCCGCCCCCCGCCCGTGCCCACTGAGGCCAGAGCCGGGGGGACAGCCGGGGGACCATCTTAGCCCACAGACCCGGAGCCTCAGGCCTGGTACCTTCCGGCTTGTACTGAGCGATGATCGTGACCGTCTGCCCCGCGTTCTTCAGGGCGATGGCCGCCTGCTCGTGGCTGGCGTTGCGGAGGTCAACGCCATTGACCTGGAGGGCGGGGGAGAGGCTGGGTCACCGGGGATGAGGGCCGGGCTCCGGCCTCCCCAAGCGCCTGCCCTGGGCCCCGGGCCCCGCTGTGAGAGGAGAGGGTGGTGCGGGCAGGGGCTGGCCTTCTCTCACCGAGAGGATCTGGTCCCCCTTCCGCAGCTCCCCACTGAGGTCAGCAGGGCCCCCAGCCAGGATAAAGGAGATGAAGATGCCTTCGCCGTCCTCGCCCCCGACGATGTTGAAGCCCAGGCCGGTGGAGCCGCGGTGAATGACAATCCGCCTCGGTTCTCGGGGGACGTCCTCCTCCCCCAGTAGGTCCTTGGCCACCGGGGAGTAGCGCCGAGGGGACGTGGGGGTCATGGCTGTGGGGTAGTCGGTGCCCAGGTAGCTGCTGTGACTGATCTCGTTGTCCAGGTGCTGGGAGTAAGCTGAGGGAAGACAGGGGAATCGAGGGTGACGTGGACACGCACAGAGGGAGACGCACCCACCACCCCACCTTCTCCTCGGGGAACAGCCCAGCTGGGAGGAGGGGAGTCACCCTGGCAGAGACACAGGGTGGGTGGGAATCAGATCGCTGCGATGCAGGGGGCAGGAAGTCACAGGTGACGCGGGTGGCTCTCCTGGGGGGCCATGGATGTGGGGTTACGTCCTAGGAATGAAGGGCAATGGAGCCGAGGGGAATATAACACCAGGCTCTTGGGGTTTGCTTTTTGGTCGCAGAATCTCTTCATCTATAAAACTCCTCTCCCTCTTTTTTCTCTCCTCTCAGCCATTTTTTGGGAAAAACGAGGTCATGTGTCTAAGAGCAGTTCCCTCGTCCTATCAGGGAAAGCTAAGAGGGCCCTCTCAGCTTGCACCTGTGCCCCTGCCCTGTGTCTCCTATAAACTGGTCGTTCAGACTAGAGACTTAGGTTCAAGTTCATCTTTTTAGCAGGAACCCTTCCTAGACGGAGCTGCATGCTCTCCACCACGCCAGGACAGGGGCCCTGTGTCCAGCTGTCTCTCCGTTGGCAAGCAGTTGGCGGGCTCAGGTGTGTCAGCAGTTCACCTAAGAGCTTTCGAAGCCACCAGTGAGCATGTCCTAGTTCTGTGGTCGGCAAACTGCGGCTCGCGAGCCACATGTGGCTCTTTGGCCCCTTGAGTGTGGCTCTTCCACAAAATACCATGGCCTGGGCGAGTCTATTTTGAAGAGGTGGCATTAGAAGAAGTTTAAGTTTTAAAAATGTGGCTCTCAAGACATTTCAGCCGAAACCGGTTTGGCTCAGTGGTAGAGCGTCGGTCTGCGGACTGAAAGGTCTCAGGTTCGATTCCAGTCAAGGGCATGTACATTGGTTGCGGGCACATCCCTGGTGAGGGGTGTGCAGGAGGCAGGTGGTTGATGTTTCTCTCTCATCGACATTTCTAGCTCTCTATCCCTCTCCCTTCCTCTCTGTAAGAAAAATCAATAAAATATATTTTTTTTTTTAAAAAAAAAAAAAGACATTTTATCGTACTGTTGATTTTTGGCTCTATTGACTAATGAGTTTGCCGACCCCTGTCCTAGTTCTATGATATGACTGGGCACAGCAATATGGTAATGTCCTACTGTTATTGCTTCTTTCTTTCTTTTGTGGGCGGGGCATTTATTAGTGGGAATCATTCTATTAAAAATAAATAACTATCGCCCGGCAGGCATGGCTCGGTGGTTGAGCGTCAACCTATCAACCAGGAGGTTGCAGTTAGGTTTCCAGTCGGGCACATGCCCGGGTTGTGGGCACTGTCCCCGGTGCGGGACACGGAGACAGCTGATTCTCTCTCAGAATTGATGTTTCTATTCTCTCTCTCCCCTTCCTCTCTGAAATCAATAAAAATATATTTCTTTAAATATATAACCGTCCCCACAGAGAAAGACAAGTGTCACGTCATCTCACTTATATAAAAACTAATGAACAAAATAAACTACTAACAAACAGAATAGGTCCAGAGGCATGGATGCATGGAACAGACTGACGGGTCTCCGTGGGGAGGGAGGGTGGAGGGAATGGGAAGAGATGAACCAAAGACACAGACAAGAGTGTAGAAAGGCCTGGGGTGGGGCAGGGGTGGGTGGAAGGAGGCAAAGCGGGGAGGGAATGTAACTCTGTCAACAATTAAATAAGTAAATACCAATAAAAATAAAAGAGAACTGTCCCACATTGGCCATCCTGTTACCCTAAGGAACAGCTTGCTCCAGAAGGAGAATAAATGCTTGACTTTCCCCCCTTATCTGCCAGTTTCTAAAATGAATGGGTTCCTGAGCATCCTCCAAAGGCACCAATCATATGGAAGCACCACCGTGACCTCATGGACTGTCACACATTCGATGCATTTTAGTTGAACGGCCAATAGAAGCCCTTCTCTTGGCTTCTGTGCCTGGGACACGGTCCTGCAGCCTCACACACCACCTTGCTTTCTAGTTTGAAAGCTGCTGTGAGCTCATCATCACCATTTCTTGCCCAAGATGTGGGATCAGCCCTTCCTCCAGGAAGCCACGGTTCCCTGGTAAGCCATGGTGTTGAGAAATGCTACCACATGATTGTAATATCGTTTTAGAAGATGGTTTCAGATTTGGTAGAATCAGCCAGGCCTCATTATTCTTTCCCAAACATTTCTTATTCTCCCAAATGTATTTTTCCAGTTGAACTTTAGAATCAACCTGCCGTTTCCAGGGAAGAAAGAGAGAACATTAAAATTCTGATTAGGATTGCATAAAATGCATAGGCTAATTTGGAGGTTTGAAATCTTTAACATAATGCGTTTTCCCACTCAGAAACATGGGGTGTGCCGAAACCGGTTTGGCTCAGTGGATAGAGCGTCGGCCTACGGACTGGATGGTCCCAGGTTTGATTCAGGTCAAGGGCAGGTACCTTGGTTGCAGGCACATCCCCAGTAGGGGGTGTCAGGAGGCAACTGATCGATGATTCTCTCTCATCAATGTTTCTAACTCTCTATCCCTTTTCCCTTCCTTTCTGTAAAAAATCAATAAAATATATTAAAAAAAAAAAAAAAAAAAGAGCCGAAACCGGTTTGGCTCAGTGGTAGAGCGTCGGGCTGCGGACTGAAAGGTCCCAGGTTCGATTCCGGCCAAGGGCATGTACATTGGTTGTGGGCACATTGGTAGGGGGTTTGCAAGAGGCAGCTGGTCGATGTTTCTCTCTCATTGACGTTTCTAGCTCTCTATCTCTCTCCCTTCCTCTCCGTAAAATATCAATAAAATATATTTTAAAAAAAGAAAAAAAGAAAGAGAAAGAAAGAAAGAAAGAAAGAAACATGGGGTGGCTCTGTTTTCTACAGTCTTCATTTGTGTCCTTCAGTAAAGTGTGCTCATTTTCCCCAGACAAATCTTACAACACTTCCTGTAGTCACTTACATGTTTCTAAGAATGTTATAGAATTTGTTTTTTGGTAAAAGGAATCTTTTTACCCATTTCATATTCTTATTGCTGGGAAGTTGCTAATTCTTATCATTTATCTTACATATAGCCACATTCTTAAACTTCAATATTATTTCTAAATTTTTTGGATTTTAATATCAACAGACTATAGTATAGTTTATAAATAAGGATAATTTTGTTTTTCCCTTTTCAAGTGTAACATCTATTGTCCTGGCAGAGTAGCCCAGCTGGTTAGATCATCTTCCTGTTACACTAAGGTTTCAAGTTTGATCTCCGGACAGGGCACATACAGGAATCAAACAATGAATGCATAAGTAGAACAAATCAATCTCTATCTCTCTCTCAAATCAATAATTTTTTTAAAAAATATATATTTTATTGACTTTTTTACAGAGAGGAAGATAGAGGGATAGAGAGTTAGAAACATGTACCGCAACCAAGGTACATGCCCGTGACCTGAATCGAACCTCGGACTTTCTAATCTGCAGGCCGACACTCTATCCACTGAGCCAAACCGGTTTTGGCAGTAATTTTTTTAATGTCTCAATGTCATATCTATTTATTCTTCTTGCCTTATTACATGGCCTGGAATCTCTAAAGCAGTGATTTTCAAGCAGGGGACACTGGGCAATGTCTAAGGACATTTTTGGTTGTCCTGACTGGTGGGGAGGAGTCCCATCATCATCTGATAGAAGCCAGGGATGCTGCTAAACACCCTGCAATGCACAAAAGCACCCAACAACAAAGAATCATCAAGTCTAAAATGTCAGCAGTAAAAACACCGAAAAACCCTGCTCTCAAAGCAATGCAGAGTAACAGCAATAAGGGCATCCGTGCGCAGTTACTAACTGAACGAACACACTAAGATTTTATCATTAGGAGACGTTTGTTGTTGGATTCTGAAAACTACTCTTCACCATCTGAAGGAAAATTGCTCTATTCCTTGTTTACTAAGTTCTCATTTGAAAACTGAGTGTCATCAAATGGCTTTCACACATCTATCTGAAATGACCCTACAGTTTTCCTCCATTAACTTTTTAATACAATGAATCAAATTAAGGGGTTTTCTAATATGGAACCACCTTTCTAAAACAAACCCTACTTTGTGACGTTATTCTCTTCATATGCCCCTGTGTCTGGTTTTCTACTCTGTCATGATAAACTTTTACATCTCTATTCAGAAACCAAATTGGCCTATGCTTGCTTTTACATTATCTTTATGACCATTGGAACTGTCCTTGTAAAATGAAATGTGAACGTTTTTATCTTTTCCCATACTCAGAGAGAGCATAAGAATAATCCATTCCTTGAGGGTTTGATAAAATTAGCCATAAAACCATCTGGGCCTTGTGCCTTCTGGGGGAGAGACTTTTGACAATATTTTTTAGTTCTTCCATGTGACCACAGGAAGTGACAGCAGCTGTAGTTATGTCATGGGGATCGTCTGAAGAGGAACAGCCACCAGAATGTCGGGGGGACATGGGATGGCCATGGGGAGCTTTGGGGTTGGAGGACTCTCACAGGTTGTGATGTCTGGGGGAGCGTAGCTGTCACTCAGGTAGGCATTGCTGGGCTTGGCCACCTTTAGGTAGACAACGTCATACGTGTTCTTCAGGGCTGCCACGGCATCCTCATGCATGACGTCCTCCAGCCCCACACTGTTGACCTGGGTCAAGGGAAGCAAAGCTCAGACAGAGCCAGGAACAGCCTCAAGCCCAAGGCACTGGGCGTGGGCTGACAATGAAGCCTAGGTCTGCTCAGGGCCAGAAAGGCCCAAGTGATGGGGTCCTCACCGCCAAAATCTTGTCTCCAATCTGCAACCTCCCGTCCTTGTGGGCAGCGCCCCCTTCGATGATCTTCGTCACGTAGATGCTGTTATCCCCGGGGATGTGCTGGTTCCCCACCCCGCCCGCGATGCTGAAGCCCAGACCTGGACGAGGGAGAGGCAGAGGCGGGACCTGGGAAGCAGGCCTGGGGCACGGGACACCTGACACAGGGCGACGACACGTGGGTCACTACCTTTGGGCCCCTTGATGAGCTTGATCTCCATGAGCTTCTCGGCGGGCGGCTTCCGGCGCATGACGTAGAGGCGGACGATGGAGCCGGCCTCCTTGAGGGCCTCCACTGCCGCCGAGTGGGTCACCTCCCGCACATCCACTTCGTTCACAAACAAGATGCTGTCGTTGACCCTGAGGGCAGCAAGGTGGGCCTGAGCCAGGCGCTTCCTGCCACCCCGGTCCTCCCTTTGGAGGGAACCCGCATCCCAACCCCGGTCTCCTCTCCCCACCTGAGGCGGCCGTCCTGGGCCGCGGCCCCGCCAGGAATGATCTTGGTGATGAAGATGGAGGGGTCGTCACCGATGTGCGGGTTGTCGGTGCCACCTGCGATGCTGAAGCCCAGACCTGAGTTGCCCTGGGCAGGAGGAAGGGGAGAAGGTTAGCTCCCTCACTCCCCGCTCTGGCAAAGCCAGTGGGGAGGGAGACGGATGGGGGACCGGCACAGGAAGGTCGGGGTGAAGAGGGTGGCCACCGGGAGAGCAGCACAGACGGGGCGCCTGCTCACCCTTTCTAACGTGATCTCCTCGTATTCCATCTCCCCCTCGGTCCCGTTCACCTGCAACTCCAGCACGGGCCAGAAACAGACACAGTGAGACAGACATTCCTCCCTGAGCACCTGTCCCCCCACACGCACTGCTGGAACCCAGGCCACCCCACTCCTTCCTTCGGCATTGGCCCCAAAATCTAAACAACTCACATATCCGGGGGCTTCCAGGGTGTCTGTGTTGACAATCACAGGGGGAGAATTGGCCTGTGAGGGGGAAAGGAGATGAGAAACTGCCTGAGCCTTGGCCCAAGAGGGAGTCTGTGATTGAGTCCCACCAGCCTGGCTGCCCTTCCCGCCTCTTAGCCAAGCCTCCTCTGCTACCCTGAGGTCCCTTACGGACCCAGCCTCTATCCATATCACACACACACATGCACACGTGCACAGCTCTCTGCCCAGCCCGGGCCTGCATGGAGGAGACGTTTCAGAAGCAGGAAGGGAGAGGCAGCCAGCCGGGGAGCAGCAGATGGTAAGGGGGGGAGGGGGCCGGCTGGGGGGAGCCTCTCACCGGATGTAACACCCCTGGGTGTTCCGTGCCTTATGTGCTACACACTCAAACCCCAGGATGTATGTCCACTGGGACCGGCTCCCCACTTCCTGCCCCATGGCTGCTGCCCACATGCCCTGATGCCTTCGGAACCCCCCCTCAGATCTGCCCTCGGCTTCACACATCTGCCCTAACCCTCGCCCACCGAAACCCGGGCTCCCCCAGATGCAGGTCCTCCCGCCGTCTAATCCACTCTTTCCTCCAGGGACCTGGTTGCCTAGCAAGAGTATCTAAGCGCCGCCAAGGCCAGGGGGACCACCTCCAGGAGGCCCTGTCGTCAAGACAACAGGAGGGGTGGGCGTGGCCTGGGGCGACCGGGCTCCCCACGCAGAGGGATCGCGGGCCCCGCCCCTCCCGCTCTGGCCCCGCCCCCGCCGGCCCCGCGGAGCAGCCCGGGCCGCAGAGGCTGTGGGAGCAGCGCCTTCTGAACAGCCTCCCTCCTTCCCTCCTTCCTCTCTCCCCCCTCCCTCCGTCTCTCCCCCACATCTCCTCTACGCCCTCACCCCACACAGGGCAGAGGACGCCAGGAGGGGAAGTGGTAAAAGACATCCGGGTCCTATCCTCTCATCTATTCCTCCCCCCCCCCCACTTCATTAAGGAAAGAGTTAAAGTGGGACGTGCTGAGGCCCTGACGTCAGTGGCCTCGAAATAGCAGGGTCTCTAGACTCAGGGTGGGGCCAGCTTTAAGCCGGTCCTAGGGGCTTCCCCCATTGCCAGGGCAACAGAAGCCACGTCTCCATGGCAATGGGGGAAGGCTGCCCAGAGCCTCCTTCCGGGATCCCCAACCTATCGCCTCCTTAACAAATAATTATCCGGAGCCGAGAGGCAGGCTTCACGTCTCCCCAGGCTCCTCTTCCTCCCCTTCCGAAGGGGTCTCTCCCCTCTCCTGCTACTGTTTCTCCACACCACACACTGCCAAGTTCAATCTCTGTAATGGATTTCACACTCGTAAATCTCTTCACACCATCCTCCGACCCTGCAGGTCTCAGTAAATGCTGTTACCCAACCAACAGGCACTGACATCCAGCTCCCCTCCACATGGCCATCCTCCACCTGCAGCCTATCCTCAATCCCACCCTGGAACCCCTTTCCTCAGGTCCCCGCTTTCATCCCATCCCCACACCCCCCCCCCTTCTATAAACCTGTCCCGCCCTCCATTTCAGTCTTCCAGCCCCAGCCTCCACTCTCCATCAGCTTCCCTGCCTCATCCCACCTTCCAGCCCGTCCCTAAGGTCTCCTGGCCTCATCCCCCATCCTCACTTCTGATGCACCTCCCCCTTACCTCATCCTCAGACCCTCAAGATTCTATCCCTAGATCACAACCCTTCATTCTCAACCCACTCCCCATCTCCTCTGAAAACTGGGGTTTCTCCTGTCTGCCATCTCAGGCCTCGTCCTAAGACCTCCACTCTCTCTCATCCACTTCCTGAGCTTCCTGAGCGCTGACTGCAGCACCCCAGCACTGTCCCAACCGCACCTCTCAAGCCTCCCTCTCACCTCGCCCCTCCCAGGGACATAATGGCCCCTCCTGGAAAAAGCAGCTCTTGGCGTCTTTCCTTCCCTCTTTGCAGCTCCCAGAGCTTCTCATGTCTCCCCAGCTCCAGGGCCTTCCTTCCCTTCCTATCAACCAGCTCAACCTGCTACCCTGGTTTCGGTCTCGTCCCAGTCTATCCCCTGCCCTGGGACCTCTCACCCTTCTGCTGTCTCTCCATTTTGCTAAAACCAGACAGCGGTCTTTCTCTCTCCTGCCAGCCACCTCCTTCTAACCCCAGAGCCTGCTGCTGCCCGCTCCCTGCCTCCTCATCTTTAGGCTCCGACCTCCTCCTGTCTTCCAAGTGCAGATCAGCAAACTCCCCTGCCAGGGGCATCCCACAAGAGCCCTAAACCCCAGCCCTGGCCCCACCACGCTCCCCTCAACCGGAGGCTTGCCTGGTGCTCTCCGTTCTTCCCCATCCTGTGCCCCTCGCCGAGGGGGGAGAAGTGAAAGTGGCCTAGAGAACGGGAGGGCTCAGAAACACGGCCTCCTCTGGGCCGGGGAGGGAGGATCAGGCGCGAGCACACAGGAGAGGGGGAAACAGGTGGTCATCAATGATGATGGGGACAGACAGGATACAGAGAAATATCAGGGCAGAAACGAGAGCTCAAGAGGATGGGAGGGGAGGCATGGGAGGACGGGAGGAAAATGAACAGGGAAGGGGTAAGTGGGAGGGGGTGGAGGGGTGCCTGGCTGACCCTTGAAGAGGACTGAGCAGGCCACAGAGGGCCTGAGCCGGGGACCAGGGCGAGGGAGGAGAGTGCGTGGGAGGAGGAGAGAGACAGCATCAAGAAGCAGCCAGCGGGGAGGGAAGGGCAGCTGGGAGGGGAGGGAGCACAGGAGCAGAGCAAAAGCTGGGGCCGAGTCAGAGGCAGAGGGCTCCCCAGCCAGAGGTCTCAGGCCAGACAGACGGGAAGGACTGGAGACCAGGGGGACAGGGAGAGCCAGGCCCGGAGTAAGAAGTGGGGGAGGAGGCAGGGAAGGGACCAGAGCTAATGAGGGCAGCAGCTCTGAAACGGGAAACGGGAACAGAGGTAGGGAATGTGAAGGGATGGAGTAGGCCTGGGCTGGTAAGCATCCTGCACACATCTCAACACATATGTGCGCAGACACGCAGGCAGACAACACACACACACACACACACACACACACACACACACACACACACACGGCTTTAAGCTCTACACCCACTCCCACTTGCCAGGCCTCTGTTTCGCTTCTGTAGGAACAAGGTTTCCAGCCCCCCAAATACCCTCTCCCCTGCACCCCAGGAGCCCAAGTCCCATCCCGCGGTCCCAGCCGTCCTCCACCTACATATACAGCCTCACAGCGTGGCTCTCGCCCTACCGGCCTTGGAGGGCGGCTGTGGCTCCGAGGCTCCGAGGGCTGCACTGGGGAGGGCTGCCTGAGTCTCCTACCTTGAGGGGGGAGAGATGGGCGTGGCCCACGACCCCGTGAACAGCCTCGAGGTGGGACAAGTTCCTCTCCGCCACGTGCACCAGCTCGGGGGCGTTTACCTGGTTGGGGAGGTGGGCCGGGCTGTTCTCCAGAGGGGGTGTGTCTTCATCTTGGTAGCGATATTTCTGGGGACAGGGATGGAAGTGTCACTGGGGCCGACCCAGTGCCTCCGGCTCCAGACCGCCTCCTCTTCCCCCAGCCAGTGCAGTGCGGAAGGCCCTGGGGCCTGACCAGCTCCTCCCCCTCCCTCTCCTCCAGCCCATTGGCTCCCCTCTCTCCACCCTCCCACAGCCCCTCTCTGGCACTGGCCTTGGCACCTCTCATCGCTTCCCAAATCCCAGCTCCAACCCCCAACTCCTCTCCCTCCCAGCCTAGGATCCCAGCCTTCTACCCAGCAAACTGCCTCCTCTGGCCTCTGCTTCTTCACCCCTTCCCCAGGCCTTCGTCAGAAACCCCCACCCTTTCAGAGCGACAGCCCCTCGGACAGTGGTACCCACATTCTCTGCATCCATCCCCAAATTCTTTGCTTCTCTCATTACCTTCATCCCACTTCCCTCCTTGCCTTAATCCCACTCCCCATGTGGTAACCTCCCTTTTCCTTATCCCGCTTGCTGCTCCTGCTTTCCATTCCATCCTACCACCACCCACCCTCATTGCCTCAGTCTCCCCACGACAGCTCTACCTCAGGAGACTGGTCTCCAGCACCTTCCAAGCCCTTCAACTAGCAGGTACTTGGCATCAGCCCCCCACTCAGGACAAAGCTAAACCTGGCCAGCTCTCTCTCCAAAGGCCCTGCCGGTTCCCAAGAAGTCAGCAGAGGGGGCCCCAAGAGTCCAGCCCCACCCCCACAAATGCCCACGGCCCAGCCAGCTAATCGGATGAACCAGAAGGGGATGGGAGAGAAGGGGGAGGACAGAGGCAGTAGGTTCAGGAAGGGGACAGGAATGGGGGTCAGGTTCCAGGGTCCCTGACAGGAAGAAGGTGGAATGCTGAGCCTCAGGGTAAAAGCATGGTCTCCCTCTGGCCTTAAGGAATGAAAGACCCAACATCACTCCCTTCCCAACGACCCACCTGTCATCTCAGGGGCCTCTGGTGACACCAGCAAAGGAGATTAACCGGGGACAGAGAGGGAGGAAAGGGACCAGGGCAGCAGCCCTGCCTGATCCGCCCACCTCTGCTCTGACCTCCCGCTGCTCCCCTTCTCAGGAGCTGCCCCGCCCCCCAACAGAAGCAGACCCTCCCCAACTCCAGGCTGGAATAGGAGGAGAAGGCTACCAGGGCACCGGTACCTATGGAGGGCTCCCTCGGGGACTGCGGAGAAGAGAATGCACTCCCCAATACACGTGGGTAAAAAAGAATTTCCTTCTCAGAAAAGCGTCTGGGAAGCAGAGCATGCCCCGACATTTGGAGGCCAAGAGTTGCCTGATCCAACTGAAGGAAGCATATCAAGGTCAATGCCTAATGCTACAGTATGATTCTGAAATTTCTGATGATGATGAACCAAGACGTAACTCCACTTTGGCTGTAGCTCAGCTTGCAGTAGAAGAACGGGAGCAGGGAAATGTCGCTGGCACCATGAAGATTCTCAGCCAGGACACAGACACTGGCATCAGGAAGTGCCTGGATACGTCTAAAGACTTAGAGGGGCTCATGGAGATACACGGCGCTGCTGGCCCACAGAGCTGAGGAAAGAGTAGCATCTTGAGCTCCGGGTTTCAAAACCACGGGCTCAAAAAGCAGATGAGGGAGAGAAGGGGAGGGGATAAGCTTAATACCCATCCCCAAAGACTGAGCCTCTTGGATAAGAGAATTCAGTGGAAGAGCTTGCTCATCCCACATTGGAAGGTGGTCCTCAGCCAGGACAGTGAAGAACGAAGGGGCGGTGCCCCAGAACGGGAGTCCAGGCAGCTCTCCCCTCTCCCTTCACAAGGCCCCCCCATTCCCTGAAAAAGGAGGCAGGGCCAAGGGTGGCAGCTTCAAGCTTAGGAGCCTGGGTCAGGGTCTGCCCACGCCCCTCCATCTTCACCCCGTCTCACAGGGAAGATTCCCGAACCGGGTGATGGAATGCCAGGTGCACAGAAGGAAAACGGAGGCATGAAAAGGGACATCTCGTCGTTTATTCTAGAGAGGAAAGGAAGGGAAATGTTTTTCACAGTGAGACTGCCATCCCCTCTCTCTGCCCCACCCCCGTCCGGGAGAGGGGGTCCAGGACTGGAGGGAAGGCTCCTCCAGATTGGGAGACAGAAATAGAAACAAGTTAAGGTACAAAGTTCCCTGGAAGGTGGCTGAAGGAGGTTAGAGCATAGGTTCAGCCCTTGGAAATTGTCTCAGTACACGTAGTAGGGGGGTGGAGGGTAGGGGTCTGGAAAGGGGAGGGAGGGGAGAGTAGCTCTGACACTAGGAGGTGGGAGTTGGGGCCAGCACCTCGCAGTCCCGGGTCAGGACCTCTAAAGCAGGACGGGCAGGAAAGGAGGATCCCCAAAAGAGATGCTCAGGTCCCCCACTGGGAGCAAGGGCCCGGCCCGCGACAGCTCCGATGCTACTGGGACACCCCAGGATGTTAGGGCGTCAGATAAGTGGAAGGCTTGGGGGATCCCCGTTGTTCCTCCTCCCTCGGCCCCCTCCTCACTGAAGCCCCAGCCGCACAAAACAACCTGGCACCGAGGCTGACACCCCTAAGACAGAGGGGTGTGAGTCAAAGTGGATGAAGAGAAGAGGGATGACCCACTGCGCTTGTCCGCGAGACGCTGCGCCCCAGAGACCCCGCGCCTGACGGCGTCAGCGCCGGGAGCTGCACCCTGAGATCCGAGGGTCCGGGAGGAGGGAGCGGGCCGGAGCCCGGATCGCGGCACGTACCACGCAGAGACACATGGAGGCGAATCTGTTCCGAGCCGACATGGAGAAGGGGAGGGGGCGGAGGGGGCGGGAGGCAGGGTCCCGGGCTGGGGGGAGGGGCGGAGGGGCGGGGGCTGCGGCGGCGGCGGCTCCTGGAGCTGCGGCCGGCGTGGGGGGGGGGGGCCGCGCCTGCGCAGTGCGGAGGAGCGTCACGATGGGAGAGGAGGGTGCGGGGAGACCCTCTGGGCCGTCAACTTTCCCGGTTCCGGCTGCTTCTTGTGGACCGGCCCTTCCACGGTCTGCTCCTATCCCAGCCCCTCCAATAGAGGCGCTCCTAAAATGTACCCATCTGTCCTTCTGGTTCTCAGGACCCCTTCTTCTACCTAACATCGCACCCCTAACATCACCAGGCCCCTAACTATTCCAAACATCGCTGCCGGGCTCTCAGGGTGCAGGGAAGGAAGCAGCACTTGTCTCACTTTGGGACCCCCAGGGGGTCTAAACTGTCCCCCCACACGCCCCTCCCCCTACATCCCCAAAAATGGTTCATGAGGACGGCATTCCGGCAGACGCAGACATCTCCTGTTCCTGTTCTAACCAGGAGCCCCAGCTGATAGCCAGAGATGCTTTTCAGGAGTATAAGGACCCCAGATCCTTGTCTGCCCTCAAGTTAATCTTCCCCTTAAGTCACCCTTTTCAAAATCATATCTATCCTTCCATCCACTAACAGAAACCTTAAAATTAATGCAAATACTACCCTTGCTGTAATGCAAACATCCAAATAAGCAGTTCTCAAATTCCTCTGCCGTCCCCTGTCCAAATACCCAAATCTAATAAAATACTGGGATTTTCTAAATGCCAGTCCCTAACACCACCAGACCCCAGTTTTAGATACTTAATGTATCTTAAAAGCTGACCCTACAAATTAAATGGAAACCTCTTCAATTTACTTCCCAAACCCTTACATTAAGAGATATTTTTCCATTCTTTTTCTTTACCCCACAATTCCATACATTATTCCCTTTTCTGACTGTCCTTGCTACAGTTCAACATCCTCGCCATGATTCCGAATTCTCCCAAATATATTCATCTGGCCCCAGGCCCCTGCCTCAAAAAATATTCACTGAAGTAAGATAAGGCCCACTTTGCAGTGATCCAGAAATTTCCCAGAACACCCCACACCAACTGCCCAACAGCAGGACCTGAAAGCTTCTCTCCCAAATATCCTCCCATTGAACGCCCACCTCTCCAACTCAAAGCCCCGTGGGCAGTCTCCACAAATCTGCTCCTCTGGCTTCTCTAAAGCGCTCACACGTGGCATACAGGGCGGACTTCGTCTATGCCTCCTCTTTCCCGTCCACCGGAGTCTGTTAGATGCGCCCCCAAGATGACCCCCAATATCCTAGTTTCCTATACGGACAGAATGCTTGGATGCTCAAAGGAAACCTGGGCCGAAGGGGCCGGACTCGAAATTTCTTCTAGAATGGAAAAAAAAAATCACAGTTCTCCACTAGTGGGCGCTACGACCCAAGACCCCTCCCCACCCTCCCCTCATTTCCTTTTTCCCTCCATTTTCCGTTTCCCGGTTGCCTAGCAACGCAGCTATCAAGGACTTTGCCGTCGCCTAGTAACCGTCTCCTTGGAACATAAGAGCTGAGGTAGGAGGTTGTGCTCTAATGCGATCTAAACAGGCCTCCATCTTAGGAACACGGAGACGTCAGCTGGCCCAACCCCCGGATTCTCCTTTCCGAAGACCCTCGCGCCCGCAGTCACTGAGGCAAGCCCCGCCAGCCCCCCCAGTCTCCTCTTGGCACATGGGACCACGCCCCGCCCCGGCAGGCCGGCTCCGCCCTCAGCCAGGCGGTCACCCGCCCCGCCCCGCCCCGCCCCGCCCCGCTCCGAGGGCCGCCGCCGACCGGAGCGCGAGCCAGACCTCGCCCACCGGCCCCGGGAGCCACGCCCCCGTCACCGCCCGCCGCTCTGCTCCCGCCTCCCCCGTGCGGCCCTTCCGCCCCGCCCATGGCGGCCAATGAGCGAGGCCGCTGGCCACACTGCCCCGCCCCCGGCACCTGAGCTTTGCCCAATAAGGACCACCCGGAGGGATTAACCGCTTCGCCTCCGAGGGTTCAAATGCCCCCGGTCTCTCCCCGCAGGCCGCTTCCCCCGCGGCGCTGCTCCGCCCTCCGCCACCCGCGCCTGGCCCTCGAGTCCGCCACGCAACGTCGGTCGTCGCCGGTTACCATGGCAACGGCGGCAGCAGCGCGGCGAGGAGGGGGAGGGACGGGGGCGGAGTGGGAGCGAGAGATGCTCAGAGACCGAGAGACTCCTGCAGAGAGAGGCGCAGAGTAAGAATAAGTGATGGCCATAAAAGCGGAGTTAGTACAGGGCCTGGCACAGGGTGGATATTCAGTAAATGTTCCTTAAATGACTGCAGCAGGTGTCTAAATATAGGTGATGGAGGATGGAGTACTCTCAGACGGAGCTGGAAAGCCCAACGACCTGAGCACCCGCTACCCACATAGCATTTTGGGGGGTGACAAGAGCCATGTGTCCCCCCCTGCTGGTTCCTACAGGGCTACCCTCCGCTGCCCTGGATAGAGATGAACCACAACTCCCAACAGCCCCATGGCAGCAATCCTCTAACACTGAGGGATCTTGTGCTCAAGGCCTTATGGGAGTTGGAGTCCCCGCCATCCCGCAACTGACAAGTTTTCAGGCCAAGGAATGTGGCAAGCCTGAGTCTCCACGCCTCTGTAAAACCCCAAATGCATCATCCTCTCTGCATAAGGCTCCTTTCTTCAGGGGTGTTCAGCCCTGGGCTCCATGGGAGAAGTGGGAGTCTGGAAGGAAGATGGAGAAGCGTCCTCTCTATAGCTGCCAGTGCCAGCAAGCCCCTCACCCTCGCTCACACATGTGTACACGTGTTGGAAGCAAAGCCCACACATTCCAACTGGCTTTCTCTGTACACCTGTACACGGAACCACAGCCTGGCAGTCTAGGTCTAAAGCAGCAGGAGACAGGAGGAGCTGAGCGCCAGAGGACATTGGACAAGAGCAGGCCGGAGAAACGGAGGCCCCCAAAATCTATTGAAACTACAGGGGATGGGAGAGGGGTTCAAAGAAGCAGCCGTGGGAGAAAGCTCTTCGTGAGAGGGGCCAGCAAGTAGCCTTAGAGAGGAGGTGGGGGCTCCAGACATAAAGGCCCTCAGCCCCCATCTCCTCCATCCATGTGTGAGTTTGTGACAGGGAACATGTGTGTCCTCAGCTCCCTCCCCTGAAAAGCTGCAGCTCCCACTAAATATAACCCCCTCCCCAGCTTGTGACTCACCGGACCCCGCCTTCCCGGCCCCCACTTCCTGTCCCACCCCCCACTGCCTGCCACCAGCCCATGCCTCCCTCCACACACCAGGCACCCAGCTTTCCACTCCCAGAGTCTCACAGCCAAGCCCTAGGCATTCTGTATCCACCAGGCGCTGCTTGTGTTCCCATCCGAGATCCCCTGCCCTTTCCACACTCCAACCACAGGGACACCTGGGTACAGATCTCACTGTGCCAGCCCTGCCCTCCTCCTACACCTTTCCACCCGGTCACCTTAAATACAGCTATTTCCCCACCTTGAGCCCAAGTGTCAGAGGCTACAGAAACGTTCCCCTCCATCGAATCTCCCTTTTACTCAGCCAGGAGAAGATGCAGTGTGGGAGGAGAGGGAGACATTGGGCACCTACCTGGCCCACCCCAGAATTTTGCACCACCTATCTGGTCCCCCTCCTCAAATCCCCTTTCTTCCAAAACCTCTCCTCCTCCTCCTCCTTCTCCTCCTCCTCCTCCTCCTCCTCCTCCTCCTCCTCAGGAGCCCGCAGCCTCAGCTGCTGTAACCTGTGTCTCCCAGGGGAGTACCCCAGATCCTAAGCTTTCCTGGTCCATTCCCTCAGTGATCCTTGTCAGGCCCCAGTCCTCGGACAACTCCCAACGCCCTCGTCCCACAAGATCACGACTGAACCCTAAATTAACAGTTCCCTCTAATGGAGAAAGCACCCCCAAATGTATCTACCAGAAGACGTGGTGTCTATAGCCTGAAGGCCCACCCCTTCCCACCAGCTGACACCCCCAGACCAGTCAGGCATTCACGACGAAAAACCTTCTCCCCTTTGCCAAAAGCCCCCTCAAAGAGGCAGGTCAGCCCGAGGCCAGCTGTCCCCCAAGAGGAAAGAGAATCCCCCCATATAGTCCACCTTCTACCACACAGGAGAGGACTCCCATGTGAGCCAGGCTTCTCCTTAAATAAGTCTCTCAAACATGGTTGATGAACCCCCAAACCTACCAGACCCCCCACATCAGTGTACCCCAAATTTTCCATTTCTCCACAGGTACAAAGGGATGACTCCAGGGGGCACCTGTGGCCAAACCCAGCGTTTTCTCAAATGTGAACCCCAAAACTAAATTAGGACCCCAAATACATCTTCCGATGCTCTAACTCCAGGACCCCCAGCCCCAGATTAGGCCTGCCTGACCCCTCCGCACAAACGCATACCCTCCCCCAGTTTAGAGCCCCCCATCATCGCTTACCTTGGTTGTCACTATACAGAGACAGTCCATGTTGGGGGGCCTGGCCGCCGCGGCGGGTAGGGGGCTCTGACTTCATCGGAGTTTCGTTCCTCTCCTCCGTGGGTTCTCACCCCTCCCCCCTCCGCACCCCACTTTTGCAGGGGTGGCCAGGATGGGGGGAGGGGTGAGAGGGGAAAGAGGGGGTTGGAGAAGGGAAGGGGAGGGGAGCGTGGGAGGGAGGGAAAGGGGGTCCTAAAAGGGAGTCCCCAGTGGAGGGGGGGCTTGGGGAGCACCCCGGTTCTCAGGAGGGGCGGGGGTGCCGGGGGCTGGCAGCCCCGGAGTTCGGGGGCTGGGGCATGAGCTGAGGTGGGGGAGGGGAACCGGATTTCGGGGAGCCCCGGCGGTGTCTTGCCTGCTGGCCGGGGCTAGCGGCCTTGGCGGGAGGAGTGGGGTTGGGGGGCTGGAGGTGGCCGCGGCCGGCCGCGGGAGCAGTGGAGCCAGAGGAGGGAAGGGGAGAGAGGAGGAGAGAGGAAGCAGGGGGAGGGAGGGAGGGAGCTGGGAGCCAGAATGGGGGGGTGCCTTGGCAGAGTTAACTCCTTCGGTGCTGGAAGGAACCCGGATAATGGAAAAGGAGCCGGAAGCAAAAGCAGAGAGGCCCTGAAGCCAACATGGAGAGCTGGCCAGCCACCAGCGATGCCAGCAGGCACGCTGGGGACAGATTTCATCTCTTAGAGGAGGGAGCACCGTAACTGGGCAGGGAGCACCCTAGTTGCTTAAATACTGGAGCGAGGCCATGGCAGAGGATAGGGGTAAGGGAGGGATGGGCAGGAGGGAATCCCAGGGTCCTAGTTCTCCCTCAGGATTCTCAAGAGGAAGCCTTGCAAATAATTATATCCTAAACTCTGTAGTGCCTGACATTGAGGCAGGCGACGCAAAGGGGGAAGCAAGCTGGAGAAGGGGCTGGGGGACGGAGAGGCGTTCTCGGTGCCCCTGACTCAGGATTTGGTCCCCAGCGCCCCACGGGTCAGTCCAGTATCAGCAGCCTTGCCCTCTCCCTGGGAAGTCAGGCCTCGTCCTACCTACCTGGCTTTCTGAGATGGAGGCCTCATAGTAGTCCAGGATGTCTGTCACAGAACAGCACTCAGTCACTCTCCCCACCCTCATCCCTGGCCACCCCAACCTCCACCTGCCTCCCGCTGTCTGGTGGACACTGAGAAGGGTGGCCCCTGCATGAGGCTCTTGCTTGGACCACATGATCTCCAGGCTCCCAACCAGCCCCCAAGTTCAGTAACTGCCCTCACAGGCCTAGGCCAGCCCTTCCCACTACTGCTCCTTAGAAAATCGGGGGACTACTCACCCAGCAAGGCCTGGAAAAGGTCACTGTGCAGCACCCTGAGGAGAGGGGGTGCCCATCGCAGTAGAGGGGGTGCCAGGAGCCAGAGGGCTGACCTGGGAACTGGTGAAATGCAGGTGAGGGGGGATTGGGAGAAGAGACACAGACCAATGTACTCACTCACGCCATCTTCCCAGCCTTTGCCCTTTCACCCTGGACTCTGTGGAAAGGTTCAGGGAGAGGGATCCCCAAAGTCTCAGCCCGCTTCCACCCCCAGGTCTCTCCTCCACAAGGACTCCTGTTTTTCACCTCTTGGTCTCTCGGACATCTCTCTCTTCTCTTACTTTAATCTCCCTAATCCTCCAGGATTGAGGCTGAGCTGTGTTCTCCCTCCACAAGTCCAGCTGTTAGCTAGAGCAGGCGCTCTCCGAACCAACAGATATCCCATTCCTTCTCCAGGTCTCCGGGCACCACCACCATCACCCTGCTCCACGCACCCTGGCCCTTTCTCCCCAAAGCCAGTCACAATTTAGCTTTCTTTCCTCAGGGACCGAGGAAGAGAGCTGCCCCCGACAGAGGCTCCATAGCTCAAAAATAAAGGGAGCTGAGCCCAGCTCTCTCTCCTCCTGGGACTGTCCCCAGTGGGAGTGGCAAAAAAAAAAAAGGTATAAATTATGTGGGACTTTTTTATTTTTATTTATTTTTATAAATATATTTTATTGATTTTGTCCAGAGAGGAAGGGAGAGAGATAGTTAGAAACATCGATGAGAGAGTCATTGATCAGCTGCCTCTTGCACACCCCTACTGGGGATATGCCCGCAATCAAGGTACATGCCCTTGACCGGAATCGAACCCGGGATCTTTCAGTTCCCAAGCCGACGCTCTATCCATTGAGCCAAACCGGTCCTGGCTGTGGGACTTTTTTAAATTAATTTTTATTATTTTTTAAAATATATTTTATTGATTTTTTACAGAGAGGAGGAGAGTGGGATAGAGAACTAGAAACATCGATGAGAGACAAACATCAACCAGCTGCCTCTTGCACACCCCCCACTGGGGATGTGCCCGCAACCAATGTACATGCCTTTGACTGGAATCGAACCTGGGACCCCTCAGTCCGCAGACCGAACTCCACCACTGAGCTAAACCGGTTTTGGCTTTAAATTAATTTTTAGAGAGAGGAAGGGAGAGAGAGAAACATCGATGGGTCTCCTCCCACGCCCTGACTGGGAATCACACTCACTCCCCTTTGGTCCAACCACCTGAGCTACACTGGCCAGGGCTACCTGGGACTCCTTGACCCAGAGCTGGAGAGGTGTGGGAGCGGGAAGAGACATGAGAACCCCTGCAGTTCCTGAGCGCATGTCTCAGGAGGAAGAAACAGAAGGCAGGTGGAGAGCGGTAGATGTTGAGGAAGGTCTCAGAGGCCTAAGGGGGAGGCAGTGGGCCCCAGGAGGAAAGAGGAGCTCCTTCATACTGTGAAAATGTTGGTGTTTCCGAAATTAGGGAACCTCCTAGGTCTCGGGGGAATATGCTTGGGACACTCACACCCCAGCTTGTGTCTCCCCCCGCCCCCCCTCACTTTCCTCCCTTTTGTAAATTTCACCGGGGATGCCAAAGAGTCATCCTTCCATGCCTCTGCCTCAGAACCTGTCTTACACTTCTCTCTTCCCACCGCTTCTTTCCAACTCCGCCTGGTAAGGCTCCTTTCAGGCCACCCTCCATCCCTCCGGCTGCAGTTGCCTAAGCCCCTCCCTCTTCAGTCCCGGCCTATCCGATCCAGTTCGGACAGGTGGGATGGAGGAGTTTGGGGAGAGAAGGGACGTTTGGAGATCACCCTAGGTCAACCAGAATGCGGGGGGGGGGGGGGGGGGGACGGACTCCGAAACTACAACTCCCAGCATGCCCCGGCGCCAGGAAGCCCCGCCCAGCTCCTCCCGGTGCATTGTGGAGAATGAGTCAGGGGTTGTAGGACCCAAGCTTTCGCTGACAGAACCAGAGCGCGAGGTCAGCGCTCCCGGCGGCAGCGGCTAAGGCGGTTCAGAGATGCAGGCGGCGAGGCAGGCCCGGAGCGTGGGGCGGCAGCTGCTGAGGTTGGGGGGCGGAAGGTGTGTGTATATCCGGGAGGGGTGGGGGCGGCGGGCCCGGGCCCGGGCCAGCACTGACCCTCCGCTCCCCACAGCTCACGGCCCTGTGCCATCCTGGGGCACCCCCGGCCCGGCCCAGCCCAACGACACTATGCCAGTGGGGCCGCTCAGGTAAGAAAGTGACGGTGGCCTTAAGGTGGGCGACCGCCTGGCGCCCACCTCCTGCCGCCGCCGACAGGGGTCCCCCTCTCGGTGCGGTGACCTGCTGACCGCCCTGGCGACGGAAGTGGGGGAAAGGGCAGGCCAGGGTGCCCTGGGCCTGAAACTGGGTGAAAGGTCTCCCCGTCCTGGCACCTCGCTCTGCCCCTCTGTTCTCCTTGGCATTTCGGCAGACCCTTCCCCAGCCGCGTTAACTATCCTTTTCCCCAGGCGGTTCTGGACAAGTCAGATTCGCTCTCCTCTGAGGCTTCCACCGGAGCAAAACCGGCCAAGGCGGTATGTGGCCCCGACCCGGAGGATCTAAGCTGCCAGGGGCGGGGCCCACCCCAGCAGCCAGCTCCTGAAGGCAGCCAGCTCCCTGAAGCCTCTTCTCCTGTTGCAGGAATCTAAGTCCTTCGCAGTGGGTATGTTCAAGGGCCAGCTCACCACAGATCAGGTGTTCCCCTACCCGTCAGGTAAGGGCAGGGGAAGCCAGAGCTGGGGAGGGCGGGGCAGGCGCCCTGATCACTGGCCTGACTTGTCTCTGCTGTCCCCGCAGTGCTCAACGAGGAGCAGACACAGTTTCTCAAAGAGCTGGTGGGGCCTGTGTCCCGCTTCTTTGAGGTAAAGCACCTGGGCCCGGGGAATAGAGGGCTTGGTCCCAATGGGGTGAGAGGTGTTAGGACCTTTAAAGGAGCCTGCATATGGGATCCTGTGCCTTCCCAGGAGGTGAACGACCCTGCCAAGAATGACACACTGGAGAAAGTGGAGGACGCCACTATTCAGGGCCTCAAGGAACTGGGCGCCTTTGGCCTGCAAGTGCCCAGTGAACTGGGTGGCGTGGGCCTCTGCAACACCCAGGTGAGCGCCTCAGCTCCTTCCCAGCATCCAGGTCTGTGGTCTCATCTTGGCAGGCTCAGCTCCTCCCCTCCCAAGGCTGAAGTCTCTGCCAAGCCCCTGCCCTGAGGGACCTTCGGGATATGGACTCTCAAGTACATACCCCCTCCAGACACACCACTGAACTGCACCGTCCCCGAGGACCATGGACCCCACCCAGGTTCCCCAACCCTAATGAATCTCCTGTAAGTGGAGACTACCCAACAGGGTAGGAAGCCATCACAACCTGGGCTGGACACCACCAGCCAGGGTCCTTCTCTGCCACGGTCCCACTTCTTCTCTTCTGGGAGTGCCCAGGTCGGGCTCTGCCTATTGCTCACCAGTTACAGCCCTAGGTGCCTGCTTCCCCTTCAGTACGCCAGATTGGTGGAGATCGTGGGCATGCACGACCTTGGTGTGGGCATCACCCTGGGGGCCCATCAGAGCATTGGTTTCAAAGGCATCCTGCTCTTTGGCACGAAGGCCCAGAAAGAAAAATACCTCCCCAAACTGGCATCAGGTAAGGCAGGCCTTGTAGCCCCGGAATTAGGGGTGGCCTGGGCTCAACACAAATTAGACCGGTGCTACTTAGGCCGTCACACAGTTTGGCATGTTGGCTGATGAGATTTGGGGAAAGCATGACAGGGTGCTGGTAGGGAAACAGGAAGAAACTAAATACCCCGAGGTGTTAAGGGGTAACTTGGGGGAGCGCTGAGGGACCTTCAGTGCCCGTCAGACCCAGTGATGGGCACAGCGTAAAGGAGCTTTCTGCCCAACAGGAGAGACCATCGCAGCGTTCTGTCTCACTGAGCCCTCAAGTGGCTCAGACGCGGCCTCTATCCGAACCTCGGCTGTGCCCAGTCCCTGTGGAAAGTATTTTACCCTCAATGGAAGCAAGATCTGGATCAGGCAATCTTCCTCCCATTTCTCCCCTCCTCTGCCCAATCCCCAGGCCACACTGCTCTGTCCCCCATGCCCTGACTGCCCTCTCTCTTCACAGTAATGGGGGCTTGGCAGAAATCTTCACCGTCTTTGCCAAGACACCAGTTACAGATGCAACCACAGGAGCCGTGAAGGACAAGATCACAGCTTTCGTGGTGGAGAGGAGCTTTGGAGGCGTCACCCAGTGAGTGGGTTTGGGGAGGAAGAAGGTTGAGCCAGGGAGGGCAGTACTGAGCTCTGGGGCAAATGGCTGCTACAGGGCATCTGGGAATGTGTGCAAAAGCCAACACAGCTGGAGAGAGTTCCTTTGGGACTAAAACCTATGAAACGGATCTAAAACTTTAGCTCCAGCAACCAGTGAGCCCAGCACTGGGCAGGACAGGGCCAGACCTTGGCCCTCTGGGCACGTTGTGTAAAGGCTAGGAGTTGTAGTTCCTCCTATTGGTAAGAACGAAGGGAAAGGGTAGTTTTCCCTACAGCTTGTTGAACACCCCTCTGCTCTGCCCCATCACAGTGGGCCCCCCGAGAAGAAAATGGGCATCAAGGCTTCGAACACAGCGGAGGTGTACTTTGATGGAGTCCGAGTGCCATCTGAGAATGTGCTGGGCGAAGTGGGAGGCGGCTTCAAGGTCGCCATGCACATTCTTAACAACGGGAGGTTTGGCATGGCTGCGGCTCTCGCAGGCACCATGAAGGGCATCATTGCTAAGGCGGTGAGTGCCCAAATCTAAGTCACATTGTCCCCCTTCCAATATGTCCCTGTTCCCCCTTGCAGAGACCCCTCCCCACTAGGAGCTCCAGACCTGATCACTTAGGTCCCCATCTAGCCTAGACTGAGCTCTTCCTGGCTATGGCCAAAGCCCAGCCCAGCCCCTCTCCCGAGAGGACTGGAGAACCACAGTGGGACACGGTGCTTTCTTCCAGGTGGATCATGCTGCTAATCGTACCCAGTTTGGGGAGAAAATTCACAACTTCGGGCTGATCCAGGAGAAGCTGGCCCGGATGGCTATGCTGCAGTATGTGACAGAGGTGAGAGTCCTCCATGTTCCTTGCCTGTGGCCTTCTGCTCAGACGGGTCAGACTACAACCCCCAGCAGCACCTGGGGCAGTGGGTCTCCAGCTTTACACCAATGCCCTAGGGGATGCGGGGAGGCATAGTCAGCTCAGCTGCTGCAGAAGGGGGAGCCATGCCGTTCTGCTGAGGTGCTTTCCAGAGGGACTGGAAGTTTATTCTACCCCGACGTCCACACTTACCTCTCACCCCTTTCAACAAGTCAGATTTCTAGAATCCCCTGATGAACCGACTCAGGGAACCAAATATTTCAACATGCCTCTCATGTGGCGTTAGAAGGTGAAGGCAAGGGCTGCAGGGAGCTGGGGTAGATTTGGTCTTGGAGATTTGGGTGATTAGGTCAAATCTAACGCAGCCTTTTTTGTTCTCATATTCCAACCACACAACCTCAGTCCATGGCTTACATGGTGAGTGCCAACATGGACCAGGGATCCAAGGACTTCCAGATCGAGGCCGCCATCAGCAAAATCTTTGGCTCGGTGAGGTTTCAGGCCTGTGGGGAGGGAGAGCCCAGTCGGGAGCTCAGCCCCAAAAGCAACCTTATCTGGTTCTTTGTCCCTAGGAGGCAGCCTGGCAGGTGACAGATGAGTGCATCCAAATCATGGGGGGCATGGGCTTCATGAAGGTACGGATGGTCTCTGCCCTTGGAGCCGCAGCTGGGCTGGGAGGAGTAGGCAGCACAGCTCACTCACAGGCACGTGGTTTGTCTTCCCCGGTGCTAGGAGCCTGGAGTGGAGCGTGTGCTCCGGGATCTTCGCATCTTCCGGATCTTTGAGGGGACGAATGACATTCTTCGGCTGTTTGTGGCTCTGCAGGGCTGCATGGTAAGGAGGAGGAGAAGTGAGGGGAGGAGGTGGGGAAGATGGAATCCTGACTGTTGTACCCTCCTGCCCACAGGACAAAGGGAAGGAACTCTCTGGGCTTGGCAAAGCTTTAAAGAATCCTTTAGGGAATGCCGGCCTGCTGCTAGGAGAGGCAGGCAAACAGCTGAGGCGGTAAGCTTAGGGACCAGGGTAGGGCAGGTTAGTGTATGGCAACTAACCAATCACAACTAACCAATCACTTTCCCGTCTCCTCTTAGGCGGGCAGGGCTGGGCAGTGGCCTGAGTCTCAGTGGTGTGGTCCATCCGGATTTGAATCGGAGCGGTGAACTGGTAAGGAGTCCAAGCTTGCGTGGGTGGGAGACAGCCTGCATCCAGAGCTGATGGGGCTGTGTCTCCTCTGAGCCCTGGGCACCTTCCTCATATCTTCAGGCAACGCAAGCCCTGGAACAGTTCGCTACTGTGGTGGAGGCCAAGCTGATAAAACACAAGAAGGATATTGTCAGTGAGTGAGACCTACCCCATTCCCACCCCTCCCTTTTCCTCTCCCTCCGACTAACACCCCTCCCCCCGACTGACACCCCTCCCCCCATCCCATCTACCTGACAGATGAACAGTTTGTGCTGCAGCGCCTGGCAGACAGTGCCATTGACCTCTACGCCATGGTGGTGGTTCTTTCCAGGTGAGCAGGCAGTGTGGGAGGCCTGAGCTGCAAGGGGGTCCTGGGCCAGGGTCACAGCCCTGAATTTTTGTCTCCCGCTTCCCACCAGGGCGTCAAGATCCCTGAGTGAGGGCCACGCCACAGCCCAGCATGAGAAAATGCTCTGCGACAGCTGGTGCATTGAGGTGAGAGTCGGGGTTGCCAAGAGCAGGTGGGGGGGCCCAAGGCACAGTCTCGAACCCGTTCCCTGTCCCCAGGCTGCAGGCCGGATCCAGAGGAACATGGCTGCTCTGCAGTCTGACCCCCAGCAGCAGGAGCTCTTCCGCAACTTCAAAGGCATCTCCAAGGCCTTGGTGGAGCAGGGTGGTGTGGTCACCAGCAACCCCCTCGGCTTCTGAGTACTCCCAGCCAGGGCCAGCAATGTGCCTTACGCCAAAGCCTGGGCCCCTCTGTGGGCCCCGGCTCTCCCTTAAAGGGCCTTACTCCAGGACCGTGCCTGCTCTCTCAGGGAGCACTCACTGCCTTACAAATAAAGCTAACAAGTCATGCCGTGCTACCGTGTCTGAGCCCTTTTCCTCACTGCCTGCCTCCCTCCCAAAGAAAGGAGCCAAAGGCGTAGGGAGTTTGCCCCTATTGCTTTATTTGGTGTTTTATACAAGTGACTAAAATAAATATAACAACAAATGCAGCTACATCGGCCCCCAAATACCAAATACCCCAGCTTTCTTTGACTGCTGTCAGGGGTGACCAGTCCCCCCACCCCCTTCATCCCACAGGAGCAGGACAGAGCTGACTGGGTGGATGAGGTCACATTTTGGGGTTAAAACAAGGGCCCCGGGAGATAGGGGTTCTTCATATAAAAGAGAAAATACCTACTAAAAAAATAGTCTAACGTATGTAGAAAAATCTATTTTAACCCCCCAAAAAGCTTACAAAAAAACAATACTAAAAATAACCAACGGTCCCTGTCCCCCCTGAGGGAGGGGGAGGAACCAGGCACTGGTGGTAGAGGCACAGTGGTAACCTCATGGTGGGCAGCAGCCACGGGACAGGCTGAGCCCAGGCACCCAGGCACCACAGAGGAGGAATGAGCACCCAATCCTGACCAGACACCCAGTCAGGACAGGAGCACCAGGCACTGACCGGACGGGCCAGGGGTGGCGCTCCAACATGGCGCACTGCTGGCTCTACATGACGTCCACAAAGAACTCACTGGGGTTGCCCATGGCCATGTGGAAGCTTTGGCGGCTGGCTGTCAGCTCCGGGGGCACTGAGCCTAGGTCTCTGACTGGAGGGGCCCCTGGGGGCTGCACTGCTGGAGGGACAGGTGGGGGAGGTGGGGGCATCATGACCACCATCATGGGATTATAGGGAAGGGCCATACCGGGGGGAGGCCCGTAGGGATGAAGCCCTGGGTGGGTTCGGAGGTTGGGAGCGCCTGATGAGCTCCTGGAAGGGGGAGGGCCCCCATCACCGGTCCCACCAGGCTCCCCACCTCGCCGAAGGCTGCCCCCCCGGCTGGAGGGCTCAGACTCGCTGCCGCTGCCAGACTTGGACTCGGGGGCCCGCTCCTCAGGCCTCCCTGTGCGCCCTGCACCCCCATCGCTTCGTGTGGACCCACTGCTCCGGCTCCCTGTGGGGGACAGGGAAGGGGGGCAACTGAGCCCAGGCCCAAGGCCCCTCAGCCTCCCGAGCCCCTCTCCTGCCTCTCCTCCCCGGTGTCCCCCTGCCCCCTTACCCTCCCCCCAACAACTGTATTGGCAGCTGGCAGTTCCTTACCTTCACTGTGCTGGCTGCTGGCACTGCCTCCCCCGTAAGTGTAGGATGAGAGCTCGTGGTAGGGAGGGGGCTGGGGGCTGTATGGGTGCGGGGCTGGGTACTGGTAGGGGAAGGTGTGCAGCAGGGGCCACGGGGTGGCCCCAGGCAGAGGAGCCAAGGTGTCCTGGTCCGAAGCCCCGCTGGAGCCGTCGTTGTCATTCAGAGACAGATTGACCAGGTCTGGAAAGAGAAGAGACTGAGTCACTGCTTCAGGGGCCAGGACACCAAGACGCTGAATGAAGAGGAATTCCCCACCTGCCATGCCATCAGGGCGGGAATCAGCCAGGGCCACGAGTCCATATGCTTTTATGGGGAAAGGCGCCTGTGCCCCGGCAGACAGAGCCCTGTGCCTGGGGCACAGCCGGTCCCGCAGAACTCTGGTGGCATTAGCCCCGACCTGCGCCATCGGCCAGCGCAGGGCCTGGGCAGCACAGACTGTTCATCGGTGCACAGGGACCCTAGCTGGTTTCTGGGCGAAGTCTGGGGTTAGAGAGAGGCACTCACAGCCCTCACAGCCGCCACTGAGGTCTCCGAAGACATAATAGCACTGCTCAGAGAAGGTGATCTTGTTGACGGTGTGCCGGATAAGGCCGGCCTTGAGCAGTCCGCTGGCGTACTTCCGGGCCTCCCGCCGCTCCGGAAAGCCCTCCACGTGATGGTAGAGCCAGTCGACCACATCCGAGCCTGGATCACCGGCAGAGAGAGGCATCAGACTGTTTCACTCCGGCCTGAGCCATTCCCAGCTTTGACCTCCTCCTCCTTCTCTTCCTCCTCCTCCTCCCTTGCCCATGCCACCTGCCAAGGACCCAGCCATACCCAGAAAGGCATTAGGGATGGTGATCTTGAGCCACATGCGGTCCCGAACTTCCAGTCCAGACTCTGGAGATGCCATGGCTTTGGTCACAGAGGCCATGTCCGTGTGGATGGAGAGACCTCGGCCCTCACAGCCTGCCGGAGGAGGAGGGAATCAGGCAGAGCCCACTCCCAAGGAGCGAGGGGGTCACAACCCTGCAGCCTTCTGGGAAGGGGGATGAGGCGGGCCTAGGGGCTCACCATCGGGCAAAGAGGACCCAGACGTGATGGTGCTCATGGACGAGGAGCCCGGATAGGCTGGGAAGGTGCCGGTCAGTGCAGCCGAGTGTGAGACCCAGGCTGCGGGGTCAATGGGCTGGATGGGCTCATCTAGGACAGAGAACACCAAGATGACCGCTTCCCAGAACGCCACCCAGTCCCTCCCTGACTCTGATTTGTCCTTCCTCCACCACCCCCAGGAGCCGCAGCCCAGCCCTGCTCTCCCAGCTCGCAGCTGCAGCCCTCCTGAGCGCCACTCACTTCGGGGGAGAGTGAAATAGGCCTGGGGAGAGGGATCCCAGCACTTGGCCACAGTCAGCACGATGGGGCTGTAGGGAGAGAAGGCCAGTCAAGACGGTGTGGATAGAGGCCGCGGAGAACGGAGGCCGGGAATGAGAATGGGTTGAGGGACCGGAAGAGGGAGAGAAGAAAAGACAAAGCTGGGCCCGAGAAGATGAGGGTGGAAGGCTCCATCCACTATGAGGGTGACTCACCAACTTGGATAACTCTTAGAAACACACTGAGTCAGACACGCGCGAGTACACACTGTACACTTCCATTCAGAGAAAGCCCCCAAGTAGGTAAAACTAACGCATGTTGTTCAGGGCACATGCAGGGCTGGTAAAACTATCAGGCAAACCGAAGATTTCGTCATGACTACCCCCAGGGGCTGTGAGGGGGGCGGGAGCCAGAGGGACACTGGGGGAGACTTTTGGGGCATCAGCCATCTTCCACTTCATGATCGAGGCAGCGGTGACAGGGGTACTCATTCACGCCAGAATGACTCATGACATTACACATCTTTTGTTTTGTACACCTTTTACATAAACATTGTTTTGCTGCTTTTTAAAACATGAAACAAAAAGGAGAAAAGGCAAGGACAAGAGGACTGAGGACCGAGGCCAGCTCGGAGCTCACCCTGGCTTGTGCACAATGTCCCTCAGCACTCGTACCGCGTCGTCGTTGCTCATGTTCTCAAAGTTCATGTCATTCACCTGGCAGGGCGGGGCAGTGGTCAGAGACAGGGGGGAGAGGCCGCGCCCCTCCCGAGGGCCCTGCCCCGCACACCTGCAGAAGCATGTCCCCTGGCTCGATGCGCCCGTCCGCGGCCACGGCCCCCCCCTTCATGATGGAGCCGATGTAGATGCCCCCGTCGCCCCGCTCATTGCTTTGGCCCACAATGGAGATGCCCAGGAAGTTGTACTTCTCTGCGGAAGGGAAGCCCAAGCCATGTGACCCCACGCCCTGGAGACCAGTCCCCGAACCCCATCCCCGGCTCCCTCATACCCATGTTCAGTGTGACTGTGATGATGTTGAGAGACATGGTGGAGTCGGTGACGCTGCTGAAGGAGGAGGTCTGCGGAGGGAAAGAGGGAAGGAGCTAGACTAGACTGCCTTCAGCAGCCCAGGGACAAGTCTGGGACCGTCCGGGCCCTCATACCCACTGAGCAAGGCCCAGGTCCCCAAGTTCCCCAAGATCCATCATCCATGACCCTCACCCTCTCCAGGCGAGGCGGCCGCTGCTTCCTCCGCCGTCGGTGGCGCTTGAGGAGGCGAGAGGCGCTGCTCTGCTCCGTGGAGCTGCTGAACCTGCCGGGAGGAGGGGAGGGAGCACTGCAGGCCGAGGAAGGAAGATGACTGGGTGAAGGAGGGAAGGGAGGGGCTGGTGCCTGGGGGGTCTGTGGAGCCATACCTACTCGTGGTGTCGTCCTCGTCCGAGTCCCCCAGGCTGGTGCTCTCCAGCTCGCTGGTCATGAGGGTGGAGGAGCTCTCGTACCCGGCCAGGTGGCGCTCCAGCCTCGATGGACCGCTGGGCCTGTGGCCCCCAGCTGAGTACAAAGAGCAACTTCAGAAATCAAGGCTGCTGCTCCTCACCCTCCTCCAGGCTCAGGGCTGACCCAGCCCCTTCCCAGCTCCCGTCTCCCCAGCCTCAGAGCCGACCCCTCACCGCCATGCTCACTGCTGTCTCTCCTGCGAGGCCGCTCCCGCCTCAGAGACACCACCGACTCGGTTTCAGTCTCAGGCTCCAGGTTCTCCCGGCTGCTGGACACATTGGGGCTAGAGAGGCAGAGACCGTGCCAACGGAGTCAGCGGGACAGAGCTCCAAACCCTTGGCTTCCCCTCCCAAGAGGCTTCGATTCCCTTCTCCTCTCCCCTCAAGGATCCCCAGGACTCACTGGAAGGACGGAGGTCTGGAGTCCCCAATGCCACTGGTCCTCTCCGGGGGCAAAGGGGGTAATGGTGGGGTTGGAGGCACCAGTTCTGTCCGAGGCTCCTGGGGTGGGGGAGCTATCTCGGGTTGAGGGTTATCGGATGACACAAGCTAGAAGAATGCAAATGATTAAAAAAAAAAAAAAAAGGATCTACTGGAACGTGAGGCATATGAGATGGGAGTAAGGGAAAGGACTAGAAAAGGGGACAGGGTCTGGCAGAGCCTGGAGAAAAGCATGAAAAAGCAGGAGTAAGCATTTGAGGCTCCAGAAAGAGAGGGATGAGGGACTTCAACTAGCGCTCCAAACAGACAGGGAAGCAAAGAGCCAGAATCTCCAACAACTAATCAGGGTGCGGCTACAAGGCGGGACTAAAGCGTGGAGGAGCTTGGTGACACAGGAGGGACTGGCCCTCAGAGCCAGGGCCCCTTACCCAGGAGACAACCCTTCCGTTGAAACAGGGGAGGCGGGCATTGTCATCTGAAATCTCTTCCTTCACCACCCTGCAAAAGCCAGCATGAAAGGTCAGCGGGACTAGACTAGCTCCCTCCACACCCACCCCAAAGTTTTTCCCTTTTTAAAAAAATCACAAAGAGGATTCTTTTTCTCTTTATTGGTTTCTGAGAGGAAGGAGATAGAGAGCTAGAAACATCAATGATGAGAGAGAATCAGACCAGCTGCCTCCTGCACTTGGCCACTATTGGGACTGAGCCCGCAACCAGGGCATGTGCCCCCAACCAGAATCAACCCCGGGACCCATCAGTCCACAGGCTCTATCCCCTGAGCCAAACCTGGCAGGGAACAAATAGGATATTTTATTTGTCACCATTAGCCGAAACCGGTATGGCTCAGTGGATAGAGCATCGGTCTCAGACTGAAAGGTCCCAGGTTTGATTCCGGTCAAGGGCATGTTCCTTGGTTGCAGGCACATCCCCAGTAGGGGGTGTGCAGGAGGCAGTTGGTCGATGTTTCTCTCTCATCCATGTTTCTAGCTCTCTATCCCTCTCCCTTCCTCTATGTAAAAAAATCAAATATATAATTTTTTTATTTTATTTTTAAGAAAGTCTGCATTTAAACAGATTCTTGTTCTGGGGGCTCATATCAGCTCATTCACCTTCAGCATCTGTCTCAGCCCCAGTAGCTTTTCCAGAACTACCTTCACCTGAAGTTTTCGTAATTCTAACTTGGGCTTCTTCAGCATTTTGACTTTCTAACAAAGACATCTTGGAGCAGACAAATAGATGGGCAAGCCTTTTCTGTCTTTTCCAATGCTATCTGACCTCTCTCTTCAAATCTGTCTGAACCTCTCGGGTCATGATTTCCGTCATCATCTTCTGGATTTGGAGGACCTGTTGATGCTGAACACAAGAGGTCTTCCAAATCTAATTGCTGTGTCTTTTAGTAAAAACAACACAGAATAGCCGAAACCGGTTTGGCTCAGTGGATAAAGTGTTGGCCTGCAGATTAAAGGGTCCGGGTTCAATTCCGTTCAAGGGCATATACCCAGTGGGGGGTGTGCAAGAGGCAGCTGATCGATGTTTCTAGCTCTCTATCCCTCTCCTTTCTTCTCTGTAAAAAATCAATAAAATATATTAAAAAAAACAACAACAACACAGAATAGATGAGGCAAATAACCATCAGTAGTCTTGGCATCAACAGGAGCTTCAATCATGGCCTGCCATCTTTTGACCATGGAGCCCATTTTGTCTCCATGGTGAGATCCATGCCATGGAAATGAGGCAGGTTTGCCCTGAACACCCTCAGTAATTAGCTTGAATTTTCTAAACACAACTTCATTGCCCTGCAGGTCAGCTACACTCGCTTCAAAAACATGGCCTCTGAGACCTTAAGATGCAATTTTGCTTTCTGGTGTTCTGGTGACCAGTGCTTTCCCCAGTTCCTTATATTGAACAGAGTCGGTGCTCTCACGTCACACCGATCTTTCTTAGAAAATGGAGCGAACCCTGCTTCTTGGCTCCCTTTCTGTCACCTTTCCGGAGGCCCTTGTTCTTGCAGACCACCAAGGTGCTGCTCAGAGCCAAAAGGCTCTCCAATCTCCATCAGCTCAAGGATGCTGAACTTCTCCCACCCCATCTAAGTCCTCTTCTCGCTCTTACACCTAAGAAATCCACAAACTCAATGCCACTTCCTTATTTCTTCTCTTGCAGCTCATTCTCAGGGGCTCAATGCAGCTCCGAAGATCTTTCTGAGCCTGACTCAGATCTCTCAGTCCAGTTTAAGAGACCACTCCTTAAGATTACCTCAGTTGCCCCAAATATCCATCTAACCTTAGGAGCCTGGCTGGCAGCCTCCACTCTGTTTCTCACATATCTTCCCCCCTAAAAGTCATTGGTCCTCATCTAAGACTCTACTCTTACGCTTTCTTTAGTTTTCTCTAACTCACTTCCAGGGAGCTGTCCAAGTGCCATCTTTGCCTGGGTAAAAACCACTAAACAAAATAATGGTACTTCCTCAGTAGGCTGAGAGTTCCCAAGGGGAGGGCAGGCCCTGATTCCCATTCCCCTGTGCCTCACTTGCCACCAGACTCTGCAATCTGCCCCACCTGACAGACTCCAATGACCAATCCTGGAGGTCCCATCTCCCACGGGTCCCTTGAGATGGACTGGACTAGCCCCTTCATAACCACCTGTGAAATCAATGATATTCAACACCATGTCCTCCCACACAGCAAAGTACCTGGCACTTCATAAACATCAACGAATACTTGTTGACTAAAGGAATACACACATGAACTATGAGCCTCTCTGCCCTGGACAGAATCTCATACACACACCCTCTCTCACGCCAAATAGGATATCCTGTCCGGTTAACCTAATATGGTTCTAGACCCCTGGATACGTGCCAACTTAATCCCATTTGCTTTCAATGGGACAAACACAGCCAAATCACCACCAATCGGTCTCAGCATAATGTCATACTCTTCACAACATAATACCAATCTGTCTCAGCATAACCCAGCCTTCCAAATTATTCCAGTCTGCATTACCATAACCTAGTTTATGGACTAGTCAGACTCAATATTGCCAATTACCACTGGCCAAGAATTAACGTGTGCTACGCACCTGTACTAATCATTTTACTCTATCTCCATCTCACAAAAAAAGATCAGGCACAAATTTTTCTAAATTGCCCAATTACACTGCTGACAAACAGAAGAACCTTGATTTAAACCCAAGACTACCTTCCCAATGGCCAACAATCTTTCTAGACAAAGCCCAGTTGATCTGGCTCTCCTAGAACCCAGGCTATCCCAGCCTAATTCAGCCTGCCTTCAAGAGCTGAGGTTGAGCCCTAGCTGGTTTGGCTCAGTAGACAGCATCAGCTGCAGACTGAAAAGTCCTGGGTTCGATTCTGGTCAAGGACACATGCCTGGGTCGTGGACTCAATCCCTGGTAGGGGGCGTGCAGGAGGCAGCCAATTAATGATTTTCTCTCACAATTGCGGTTTCTATCCCTCCCCCTCCCTTCCTCTCTGAAATCAATAAAAATGTAAAAAGAAACAAACAAACAAGAAGAGCTGGAGGTTGAGCCCGGGCCAGGTGGCTCCGTTGATTGGAGCGCTGTGCCGTGCACCAAAAGGCTCTAGGCTTGCTTCCTGCCTGGTCAGGCCACATAACCTAGGCTGCAGATTGGACCCTTGGTCAAGACACGTATGGAAGGTCTTTCACATCGACGTTTCTCTCTCTCTTCCTCTCTCTCAAATTGATAAAAACAACAAGTGAGGATTAAAAGAGAGAGGGGGAGAGAGAGAGCTGAGGCTGAGGTTCAGTACCCAAAATTATAAACACAAAGGGGCTCATTCTGCATTATTCACTTATTTTTAAAAACATATATTTTATTGATTTTTTACAGAGAGGAAGAGAGAGGGACAGAGAGTTAGAAACATCAGTGAGAGAGAAACATCGATCAGCTGCCTCTTGCACATCTCCTACTGGGGATGTGCCCGCAACCAAGGCACATGCCCTTGACCGGAATAGAACCTGGGACCTCCTAGTCCGCAGGCCACCACTCCATCCACTGAGCCAAACCGATTTCAGCTCATTCTGCATTATTTAAAGTTCCAGGTTAGCCCAGAATGTCCCAAATTACCCCAGGACAGCTCAATATATTCTAGCACAGCCTAGAATGTCCCCACATGCAGCTGTCTGCACCAATACACACTAGACTCTCCCCATACAGCTGTCAGTATTGGCAGAGACACCAAGAGCCCTGTCTGCCCTGCACTGAGTGTCTCAATAAAAACGAGGCCCTAATACAACCTAAAGTCAACCAATACAATCCCATAGAGACCAGAACGGCCCACAACTCCCCAGAATAGCCCAACCTACTCTCAGCCCCCAAAAGCCCGTACAGCACTCTCTGCTTTAGTACACACTACACTGTCTCAAAACAATCCTGGCAGACCTGGTGTAGGACAAATGTCTCAAGTTGCCCCAATATAGCCCCATCTACACCAGATTTCATAGTATATCTGTGTGCTACGGCACTGCTCAGAATGAACTACTAGAGAATAGATCCACCTACCTCAGGGCAATCCAGAGTACCCCAAAACATACCAGTGTGCCCCTCTCTATTCCAGCATGACCTAATCTCCTCTAATCTGGTTTATGGTTTGGTATAGCCCAGGCTTCCTCCTGCAGCTCCGGGCGCCTCAATCTGTCCATCCCGGGATATCCAACCCATCCCCACACAGCCGTCTGCTCCACACGGCCCAGGACCGCCCAGCACGGCCCAGGCTGCCCTGTGCCCCTCAGTACTGCCCAGTCCCCTTCAGCCCGGCCCCCATCTGCCCAGGGCTAGGCCTCGAGCTCACCCGAAATCCTGATCCATGGACTTGAAAAAGTACTTGGCGCCCGCGGGCCGCTGCAGGACGCTCTTGAAGTCGCCGAGGGTGATGCGCTCGGCCGGGACGGGGATCTTCACCAGGTAGGGAGTCTCTTCTTCATCCAGGTGGTAAATCACCTTCGTCTCCCCGCCGCCGCCGCCCCCCGCCCCGCCGCCCGCCATGGTCTCGCCGCGCGCTCTCCGGCTCCGCCGCCCACCCGACCCGGCTGGTCGCCCCGCCGCGCCTGCGCACACCCAGCCCGCCGCGCGCGCGCGGTCCGGACGCCCCAGAGCGAGGTGGGTACGAGGGGGGAGAAGGCAGGGGTCCCCGGGGCGGCGGCCAAGGGGGGACGGGCCGTGGGGCGCGACCCAAAGCCACGGGCTCGGTCGCCACCGCCGCGAACACCATCCAGCGCCCCGCCCACCTCTCCCCACGTCACGTGGCCCAAACGACCCGCCCCCGCGGCGCCCACGTCACGTGTCGGGCGCGCCACCACGTGACCGCCTTCATCAACGGTCTCCCTCGTGGCCCCGCCCCCGTCTCCCCCCTTCCCCACTCCCGCGTCCTCCTGGCCAAGTTGGTCTCTGCCCCCGGGGGCAGGCCGCACACCCCCACTTCGCTCAGCCCCTCGGGCAGGGGCTCCAAGCAACTGTGTTCCGATGGGGGATGCAGGCGTGCGGGGAGGGTGGGGTTTCAGGGGTTCGAGCCTGGAGATGAAATGGGCAAAGCCAACTGAAGTCAGAATTGTTGGGCAAGAAGGAGGGTCACTTTTAGCCCAGGCTTTAGGGACGGATTTCTGGACCACCTCCAGGCATCTTCTCCAAAACCTCCCTCCCAAGGACAGTCAGTGAGGGCTGTAAACACAAAGAGCCCACTCTGCTTTATTTACAACACGCAGGCAGCCTGCACAGACAGCGGCCAGTATTGTTAAAAACAAGGTGACCCAGAGGATGATCACCTGTCTTCCTTCCTCCCGCAGCCAAGACCTGGTACTCCACCTCTGAGCTGCCGTGCCCGAAAAGGGGAAGTCCAAAATTAAAAATAAGACCAGTGTAGAATAAGTGGGGATGGAGAGAAAAGATGAGGGAGGGAAGTGCTATATTTACACTAGCGTTTTATAGACAACTGTCCCATTCCATCCCAATTCCAACCCTGGCACATTGTGAGAGATTGTGTCTAGGGACTCAGACAGCCTCTCACCCCCACCTGCAATGGGTCCCAGTTCAAGTCCACAAGGTGGGAAGGAAGAACAGAGTAACAACTCATTTCCAAATGAGTTTCCCTTGGGAATTCCTGCCTTGAAATGGGACAATACCCAAGCTTCAGGGGATGGGCTGAGGACCCCGAGGCTCAGTTCCCAAGTCACGTTGACATGTGGAAGTTCCAGCCTAGAGACAGTGATGTCAGGGCTCCCCAGATTTGGGAGGCCCCCCTAACCGCCGGGCCTCTGGCCGCAGTTCCTTGCACTTCTGGCAGTAGAAGAAGTCAGGGACGTTCGTCTTCTTTATCTTAGCGCAGGAGAGGTGGATCCACGTTCCACAGAGGCTGCACTCAATCATGGGCCGCCCGGCAAAGGGCTTTCGGCAGTAACACGTGATCAGGTCCCACGAGTCATCACCTGGGCAAAGGAAGGTTGGTTTAGTTCTGTGCCTGAGCTGCTGCATCCACATCAGCCCCACACCATCACCCCCGCTGCCCCTGGGCAACTCCCAACTCCTCACCGGATTCTACCATGATGTCCTCATCCATGACCCGCATCTCCCCTTCACTGGAGCTGGCGTCTCCGTCCTGGCTTGTCTCAGTGCTGCCTACCTCCTTGCTTTCACTGTCAGTGGGAGGGGCTCCTTCAGGGTGCGCGGGGACAGGGGGCCTAGGAGCCTCAGGGGGTGCTGGCAGCACAGGGGCTGGTGTGTCACACCCTCCCATGGCTGCCATCTCTTCCTCCTCCTCCTCGTCCTCTTCCTCCTCCTCTTCTTCAGAGTCTGTATCACTGGGAGGTGCCCGGGGAGGCCCGGGGGGTGGGAGTCTATCCCCTCGCTCTGCTTTTTTCAACTTCCGCTTCTTGCTCTTCTTGATCCGAGACCGCTTCTCCCCATCCGCAGGGGCTGGCCGGGGCCTCCGAAGCACCCCGAAGCCAGCCCCCGCTCCGGGCCCCAACTTTCTGTTCTTTCGGTCCTTCTTTCGAGGAGGCTGGGAAAGGTCCCCCTGGGAAAGGGGCACCGGGGTGAGAGCAGCAGAGGGCCGGGAGGCATGTGTGAGGGCTGAGGGAGACAGTGGAGACGCCATTTTGGGCCCATCTAGATCAAAGAGAGAGTCCTTGAGCTTCATCTTCTCAAGCAGGGTGGCACTGTCGGGTGCCTGCAGACGAGAGAAAGTGGACCTCGGGGGTCCTGGCTGGGTGGGACCTGCTTGGGCGGCCCGTCTCTTGGATGACTTTGCCTTCTTAACAAAGGTCTGGATGGTTCGGAGGTCTGAGGGGGCCGAGTCCCAGCCATCGCTGTCGGCCGCACTCTCACCTCGCAATGGAGAGCTGGAGCCCGAAGCTGGCCAGTCACTTTCCTTAAAAGAGGAACAAGACCAGGGTCAGCAGGGGGCCCAGTGTTACCTCACTCAGTTCCTCCACAAACCTAGCTTAAGGACTAAGGACGAATCTACCCCAAATACCCTGCCACAAACATCAAATCACCACTGTACTCAATGTATCCCCACCTCAATTCTCATTAGCACCTCCATATTACTTTTGCCCTTCAAGTGTAGCCATTTCCCCAATACTGGCTGTCTTTGCAACATTGTATACCTCCAACAAGAACTTTATTGTCTAGCTTTCCATACGGCCTCATTGGTGATCACTTAGTTTCTAAATATTTACCCAAAACACCTTCCATTAACAGAACACCAACACCATTCACTGCTGCTCCAGCCACCTATCTCTTAACCCCACCCCCGCCCCAGATAGCTTTCCTACTAGATCTTCCAATGGCCTAGTCTTACACAGAGTTCCCGACGGGCTTCTTCTGTAAGTACAACTCCAGTTGCTCAACAGACCTCTACAGTGCCAGGCCACTACCCTCAGTCAGCTGACCTCCTGTTCCTACCTCTTTGCTGGGGGGGATGTAACCGGCATAGGCCAAGACAAAACTGCAGAATTTGTTGAAATCCTCAATTGTTCTCCGCCGTTTCTCCGGTGGCTGAAGGAAGGAAAGTTGCATCATGTGGAGTTTAAGAGGGGCATTTCCAAAGGCATATACCCAGGAATAAGGAACCTGGAAAAGGTAGGAGGGAGAGGAGGAGAGGGGGAGAGGGAGGGGAAAAGAGGATTGGAGAGGAACACTGGGCTGCAAAGGAAAGGGAAACCTCACCTGAGTCTCTGGCTTAAGGGTCGGAGGTGGATCTGTGAAAGCAATAAAAGCTGAGTCAAAACACTAGGAAAGAGTCTGGGCAAAAATCCCACCTCTACATCTTGGGGATCCCAAGCGAACCTCTAGCTCGCCCAGGTCCACTAAGCCTGGGCCCGCAAGCCCCTGCGGAGCCCGCTCCGCCCCTGCTCCCCCGCCCACCCCGCGCGGGGCGGAGCTTGGGCGCGGCGCCCTCCCGGGCCTCGGTATAGCGCTCCCCTTCCCCTTCCCCCCGCCGGGCCTGCGCTCCGCCCCCCCCCCCCCCCCCCGGTCTCCCCAGACGAGTCCACTCCGCTCCCCGGCGCCCCGCCCGCCACACCGCTCCGGGGCCGAGCGGGCTGCGGCGGCCCGGTCCTCCGCAGGCGGGGGCCCCGGGGCCGAGCTGCCGCCGGGCCGCGCTCCCCGCCCCGGCCCTCCGGGCCGAGCACGCCGCCCGCCGGGACGGGAGGACCGCGCCGCGCCGCCCTCCGCCCCCCGGGCCCCGGGCGAGCACGAGGCCGGCGCGCCCCTCACCCCGCCGCTCACACCAGCGCCGCTCCGCGTCCGGGACGGGCCGGGGCGCTCTCGCCCGGACGCGGCCCCACCTGCCCCCACACCCCGCGCTCCCCACAATGTCGCGGTCCCTCCGCCCCCATCCGGGGCTTTGGCCCCTCCCCGCCGCGAGCAGCTCGGGCTCCCCGCCGGGCCCCCGGGCCCAGTGCGGAGCTCCCTCCGGCCGCCGCCTCCCCCACCCCGTACCCGCCGCCGAGTCCCCGGGCTCCGGACCCCAAACTCCGGCCCCCGCCCCGCTCCTCTCCCCTCACAGCGGCCCCGCTCCGCCCTCGCCCTGCGCAACTCCGAGCCTTTCCCCCGCGCCGCCCAAGTCCCCGCTCCCCGCACAACTCGCCGGCCTGGGTCCCGCACCCCCACCCGCCCGCCGCCCGCAACTCCTCGCCTCCCCGCGCCCCGGCGGCTCCCCGGCTCCGGTCCCCCCTGCCGCAGACAATACCAGACTCCGCACAACTCTTCCTCCCTCCGGCCAGCACCGGCCACCCCGGCGGCAACTGCCGGAGCTCGGCGCCGCCGCCAAACTCCACCGCGGGAACTACCGGCCCCGCACTCAGCCCTCCGCCTCCCCTCAACTCTCCGGCCCGACCCCGGCCGCCCAGCCCCAGGGCTCCCACTCGCCGGAGGCCCTTTCGGGCGGCCCCTACCCCAGGCTGCTCTCCAGCTCCCACTCCCGCCACCCCCCAGCACACAGCATCTGGTCTCCAACTACCCCGGCACAGCCTCCCACTCCGGCTTCCCCAAGGTCTCCCAACTCGCCGCCCGCCACCTCCAGGGGCAGCCCCCGAGCCCCTCCCCGCCTCCCTCGCTGGCTCCGGGCTCGACCTCCAAGTTTGCCAATTGATCCCTTGCCCGCCCCCCTCCGGCTCAGTGCTCGGTGCCGGTCGAGAGCTCACCTTCGGGACTGGGCTCCGCCATGGCTTCCAGCATCGCCCCCTCCCCTCCTCCCGGTCCGGTGGCCCCCTCCCGAACCGGGGATCCCGGTGCCGCCTCCGGTGCTCGGTGTTCCCGCTGCCTCGCTCCACAGAGGTGTCTGCTTGGCCCCGGTGGTGACTCGAGTCCGCTAGCCGCTGCCGCTGCCGCCACCTCCCTCTACCACTGCCTCCCGCACTCCCGGACCGAGCCCCCTCCCCCCGCGCCGCCGGCCGCCTGCTCCCTCCTCCTCCTCCTCCTCCTCCTCCTCCTCTCCACTCCCTCCTCCCTCCCTTCGCGGGCGCCGGCACGCAATGCATCAAGGGGCTTGTAGTCCATCTGGGTGCAGCGGGAAGGGGACAGCATGAGCCTTGGGAACTTCAGTTCCCAACAAGCTACGGTTTCGCGCCGGCGCACTAAGCCGCTCCCCTCCCCCTGGGAGTGGCGGGGAGATTGGTAGCAGAGGGTAGAGCGGAAAAGGGCGCACAGGCTCCTGGGAAATGTAGGCTGGGCGGGACTAAATGAGAAGGGGAAAGAAGGGATTAGAACTCTCGGCCACCATACTGCCTCACTCTGCAGTTTCTTTCTCCCTTGGAGGACCGCCCCACTTCCGGCCAGAGAAGTGGTTGCTGGGAGGTGAAGTTCTTGTAGTAATAGACCCCTCCTCCTAGCCTTCTCCCTTCTTTGGATTCACTCCACTAGATCCCACATGTCCGCACAAAGTCTGGGCAAGTGATAAAATCTCTTCCTTAATCCAAAAGGAACAAACTTGGATATATTTATCTAAAGCAGGTACTTTCAAACTTTCCCCACAGGAATCCACCGTAAAAATGTTACATCAGGACCCAATACACAGGTATATACAACTGAAGTTTCAAGAAACAATACTCAGGATATCCCATCTATCACAACAAAAAACACCCTTTTATGCACAAGGAAAAGCCCGATATCAATAGAATAAGCCAAAATATATTACTATTCCCCCAATGTCATCTTTTCCCACCAACCACTAAAAAGCAATGGAGAATGTAGCAACACAAAGCAAAATCCAGTTCAGCTTGGTGGTTTCCTCTTTATTGATGTGCCTCTTACCTCCCCCCACCACAATTTCATCCCCTTCCATCTACCCCACAAGAAGATAGTGAAAGGGAACCAGTATTGGGGTTCTGAGCTCCATGGGCAGTTAGAAAAGGTACAGAAACCAAAACAATCACTGGATGTGACAGAGACTGACAAGAAGTCTAAAGCAGAGTGGGAAAGGTGGTAGAAAGGAGAAGGCAGGAGAAAGGAGAGGGACCAGAGGCCATCACCCCATTAACCCCCCTGCTGGAGGTCCTGGAGAAGAGCCTGAAACATTAGGAAGTACAGGTCCTGAAGGGAGAAGTCAGGGAAGGGGGGGCCATCTCTCTCTATGTAGAATGGGACCCCCCACCGCAGGCGCAGCAGCTTCACAGGCCATAGACACTTTCGTCACTGTAGGCAATGTATAGAAAGAAGTCTTCCTCATGGTGTTCCTGGGGTGAAAGCAGAAAATAATGGTGCTCAGGCATCTGGCCTTCAGTTACCTGAACCACCCAACACCCAAACACATTCTTCAAAAACCATTTTTTTGAAGACCCTCAAAACCAGTGCCTTAATTCTCTCCCTCACTTGTTCCAGGACTTCTCAGCCTAAAAGGATTATCTCTAGCAGCAGCCCTGGGGGGGAAAAACCCCCACAACCCTCAAACTGCTCTCTGCTGCCTTGGAAGAGGAGGGTGGGGGAGGGTCCATATCAAAACAGTTGCTCCAGCACACTGTTCTGTCTACTCCCACTGTCCTGTCCAAACCTCCAACCCAGGTTTACCCAGTGAATCCAAGAACTGACCTAAATAAAACTTTCTTCCCCTCAAGCTCTTCCAACTCCTCTCCAAAACCACCACGACGTCCCAATCGCCATACCTGGTATAGCTGACCCATCGTGGCACTGGTGGGTGGAATGACATTGTTGACAAAGAAAAACAAGGCATCCTCAGCTCGGAGGTGAATTCGCTTCCGGATCAAGAAATAGAACTGCCCAACTGCCCAAAATATAAGATGTGATAAAGTCACAGATATCACAAATGCCTTCAAAAGAACAGCTGCTATGTGGAGTCTCCTCCCACATGTAGCAAAACCTGGGTACTGTGATAAGGTTCCCACCTGTGAGATCAGAAGGCACCAGGTATTTCTTTTTGTCCAAGTCCCCTATCCGAGCTTTGGGAGCCTTTTCTACTATCACCTGATAAAGGGAAGATGAAAATGAGAAAACATTAGATATTACAACTCCCAGCTCCACCTGCCAGGAGCCCAAGCAACAATATTCCTAAGCACCCAAACACCCCAGACTCATTTCTTTGTCTCTGACCACGTGATGCAGCTCTGAGTAGAGACCCGGGACCCCACTGACTCAACCCCCTCAACCACGCAGGGCCCTGAATGGAGGGCGTCATAATAAACAACTACCTTAACCCCACGGGATGACTTGTCTGGGCGGCTGTAGTTTCAATCTCAAAGCCTAGGTAGCTGGGATAATTACCATGTGACATTCAGACTGTCAAACTCCCTACAGCCTCCGACCCAAATCCCAAGGTCTAGCTCCCCCATCTACACCCGAACCCCCAGCTACCATCACTGCCCCTCCTTTCACCTCCAGCCCCAGAGAGCGGTTTCAGGGTCCCTTCCAACCCCACCGCAGCCAGTAAGCAGCCTGATGGCCGCACTGCCCGTCCGGACCCAAGCCTAGGCTGTGGCGTCAGTACCAGCGCCCCGCGCCCTCGGCCCAGGCTGCCGTCCTCACCGGGACCCGGTCCGGGTATTTCTTTCTGATCTTCTCGCCCTCAGAACGGCGCTTCTCGAACGGATGCTCCTCCTTATACACGAACTTCATCCTCCCGGGAACCGGGCTGGACCGGACTGGGCTGAGGGAACCCAGGGAGGGGGGGCCCGGACGGGGGGCGGCGGCGGCGACGGTGGCGACGCGCAGGCGGATTCAGCGGAGCGATCCCCAGACTTGCGCCACTTCCCTATTCGCCAACCCGCCCCCGCCCATCTGGGGCCGCCCTGCGTGCAACATTACGCCACTAGCGCAGCAGCTCCAACGCGGACCACTTAGCACCGCCTACTGACCGCACCCCACGCCGCCAGCGTAATCACTTTGGAATCAATTTGTGGGCTACAAGGGCGACGTAGCAAATTTGGGTGATTGGTCTTCGCTACCTTCAAAAATAACTGAAAACCCATTTCCTGACCTTCCCCACGAAGCTGGGAAAGAAGATAGGAGATAGTAACCATAATTGGAGACTCGGTTCCCCCCCCAATTCTCTCCAGACATAACGTAGAGGAAAGCGGAGATAATTTACAAGGACAGCTATTCACGAATAGTTGTTGGTACGCAAAAGGCGGCCGTTGACACCAAAACAAAGTAGTACCCCAGGGGAGAAGGGGGTCTTCCGAAATAGAGGGCAGAAACTAAATATGTGTTTGCAGAGACGCACAGAACGCTTAGGTTTCAGGAGGGTGGACCAATAGGGACTGGAGAGTAGGCTTGAAAGGTGGGGACTACGTCAGCGCGGAAGAACACTCAGACTCGTAGCAACGCGATCATGTGACCTGAGGGAAGAGTGGAACGTCACGTGGCGAATGCGAAAAGTAGAGCCGGCTGCAGGGCAGAGGGAGGCCGAGCCGAAACTGCTGGAGCGGGAGCCCGGAGGCTGATCGGTGTATCCGGGGAGGGCGGAGGGCCGAGGGCGCCGCGCCCAGGGACCGAGGCCGCTGAGCTTACCTAGCCAGCCCCCAGCCCGGCCTTTCTCCAGCTATACGCATTTTCTGGCGTCTAGGTTTCTCCTTTCATACCCCTGTGTCCTACCGCTCTGAAGCTCAAGTTCCCGAGGACACACAGCTGTCCTTTTCTCCCAGGACGCCCATCCCGCCGCTTAGCCGCTTCCCACCAAACCGTCTGAGGTAGATGTTCACCACTCCATCCTCGCCAAGCCACCACCTTTCCCCCTAACCCTAGGACCAGCAGAGTCTCTCCCCTCTGCCTTTCATGTCCCCAAACCCCAGAGAAGGACCTGGGGCAGCTTTGGTTTCAAAGTTATAATGCATGGTTTAAAAGAAGGGGGAAGGTGGGGGAGAAACAGAGAGAGAAAGCTGGTTACAGGTCTGAGGAAATCTAAGAAAGGGAAATGTAGAGAAAAGGAGGGGAGGGGACAAGTTTGGAGGAAATCCAGTGGCCCAAGTCCGTTTCCCACCCACAACCCAGCCCTTGGAGTGAAGAATTAGATCAGTTTTGTACAAGAGTTTTTTAAAAAATTAAATCACAACAAAGCTGGCTTGGCTTCTCTCCGAGCCTCCCGGATTATTGAATGTCTGTCTGTCTCTCTGGCCAGTCCTCTCTCAGTCACAAGACAGTGTTTCGGCTCTCCTAGACCTCTGCGTATGTCCCAGTCGGGTTTCCAGGGAGTGCGAACACGAAGTTTGAGAGAGGCTGCTTCAGAGTCTGGCCCGTGTGTCCATCCAGGTTCCATACGGAGTGCAGGGCTCCCAGGGCAGAGAGGGGAGGGAGGGGCAGACCCTGCCCAGGCAGTCCTCACTGTTGGACAGGGCGTCAGACAGCATCTCGAGGGCTCACCCTCCTTTTCCCCCCCACCCCAACTCAGGTGGAGGGGGAGCAGCTGTCACCAGAGCCTGTGTTGGTGAAGGTTTCGGCTGAGCACAGAGCGAACGTCAGCGGTGAACCTGGGACGACAATAACTTGCATTGGTAGAGTCCTTCTAGTGACAGAGGCAGACTCACTGGAGAGGGCGGGCAGTCACCATTTCACATACTGAGATTGAGGTTCAGTCTGCTCAAAACACTAGCGCTAAAAATGGTCAGTTTTAATATAAGACTTCCATTCAAATGCTAAATGCTTAAGGGAAGAGAGATAAGTATAAGAGGACAAACTTTTAATCCCTCTCGGGATTCCCCCACTCTTCTTTCCCACAGAAGGTAAATGTCTAGTTTTCCTTACCTGAGGGCATCCAGCATCGGGAGCAGATTGAGAAGCGCGGTGTCGCTGGGGTCGCTGAACCAGGACTTGATGGGGATGGCATTGTCTAAGAGTGGAGAAGTCACAGAAGAAACAATGGATTCAAGAGGGACAAGGTGTGTTTTCTTTTGTTTGGGAGTAGAAATCATTACTTAAAAATACATGTATTCACCTCACCACCAGTCACCTACCCAAATCAATCACCTAAGAAAAACCTTCCTGATTTGTACTCCAAAATAAATTAACCGTAATCACCGTATTGCATACTATTATGAGGCTTCTAGTCATACCTACCGCCATTATACGACATATATCTGCTATGAGAAATCTGACTTACAGAACAGACATGAGAGGGAGGGGGAAACATCTCATTTAAGAGAAAAACAATTTGCCTCTTGACCGACAATAAAGTAAGGCATCCCAGCTTCATGCATTCAAGATACTTCCTCAGAGCCACTTCCTGGACCTTCACACTCACCCCATTTCCCCATACCTGGATGGCTCCTGTAAGCCCCTGGGGAGTTATCCAAGATCACAATGCTGGAGAGGTCACTGTGGACCACAGAGAGGTCCTTGATGTAGCTGCCCAATTCCAAAGTGCAATGCTACAAGGCAGGGTGAGTTGGGTATCAAAAGGAGACTCGATCCTCTGTAATTGCTCCCCCAACCCCAACCCCTGGGCAGCCAAATTCCCACAAAGGGGATCATGCAGTAAGCCTCCCTCACGTCCCCAGGTCTCACTGCAAGGCAATTGCCTCAAACTCAAATCCCTCCCTGGTGACCTGCCTCCGGAGTTTGCTTAGACGTGGATTCTAGCCCCTTACCTGTCTGTAGTATCTCCTCTTAAGAATGCTTCTGCTATTGTCTAATTTGTCTGCCACAGCAGAGCCATAAATCTCCATGCTTGCTGTGAATACTACCAGCTCGTACCACTGGCTCACCTGAAATAGATAGGGGAAGGAGGAAGTATCAGAAGAGGTGATCATTCGTTTAGACATGTAGTGCCCTTTCACTGGGGCTATCGAATGTCTCTGAGGACACAAAATTCTGAGTGCCCCCAAACTCAGGGTCTTAGGCACCATACACCCTTAATTAAGATTCAAAGATGCAAGGACAGAAGAGCAGGAAGCCTGTGGAAGAACAGAATTATACCCGAACAAATGAACCCAAACTACCAAAAGCCATTCTTCAACCATACCACAACCTCCCACCCCCAAATTGCCCTTTCTCCTCACCCCTAGCCATTTCTCCTCACCCCTTACTTCCTCCAAACCTTCTCAATCACCAGAGCCCTAAAGCCATTCCTTCATCAGAGCTCCCTTTGGCTTCTGCAAACTCACCACTTCTAAGAAGAAATCCACATGGGGCCTCTTATGTACAAAAAACCGGACAGGATGTTTGTCTATTACCACCTGTAGAGGAACAGGGAAGGACTGGGGGAGGTCCTGAGCACCACAGCACTGCCTGGAGACACCCCCACCCTCCCTGCCTGCTTCCCTTCTTCAGGCTGGCACTGGTGCCAGGGGATGGAGACAACACATTGTGAGGCTGGGAAAGGTCTAAGTAGAACAGACATAACCATTCCATCACTTCCCACAGCACACACCTTGAGGATAAAGTCAGGAGGTGTTCCAGGTCGGACCGTGGGCCTCAGAACCCCATCATGATGGGAGTGAATAAGTGTCTCATCCAGATCCAGCACCAGAATCTTCCTCTTCACCTGGCCTGAACAGGAGAAAACACCAGCCAACTTCCAGCCCAGACCCTGAACCCTGCCTCACCTTAAAGGATCTTCCCGGCTAGCAAACTCACCTAGCCGATTCCGGGACACAGGAGATAAGGGGAGGATATCATATCGAACAGTTTGGTACTGAATTACCTGAGAACAAAAGAGAGGATTAGAATCCTTGAGAAGGAAATCTTCCTCCGTAACAACAGGTAACACGCATTGAACTTTTACAGTGTGTTGGGCACTGTGTAAATGACTGAAGATGACTATTTCTCAAAACAATAATATCATCTCTTGTTTTAAGAATAAACTGAAGCTTGAAGAGATTGAAAACACTGCCTAAGGCCACACAGCTAGGAATTATGTTATTTAGCTGTTGGATCCAATTAGAATGAAAATAGCTCCATGAGAACATGGATTTTGCCTCCATCATGCTGTATTCCTAGAACACTGTAGCAAGGGGTGGACAGTTAATACTAGAATGGATAAAGTGGTGGAGTCAGGATTGTACCCATGCAGGCGGATACAAGAACCTGCTCTCTTAACTCTGATACCCCTTGCTACTTTGAACAAAGAAGTCACAGCTCTCCCCACATCCACCCCAAGGATTCTTTGTGACAACTCCCTTCAGCCTCGGATTCCTTAGTGGACACAGAGTAGGAGTCAAGAAGGGAGGTCCTTGGGCTCCTAGGGGGAACAGAGGATGAGGGAATCCAGGGGTTGTCAGGTCAGCTAAGTTCCTCTGGCTAGGGGCCACCAGGCCTATTTTAACCAGCCACCTGTCCATTTCTGTCTCTATGAGCCAAGTCACAAGTTGCAAAGAACCTAAGCCCTCAGAACAGCCTCCTTTTCTTGGTACCCAGGGCAAAGCAGAGGACATTGGAAAGCCCCACCCGCCAAGCCAACTGACTGGGTGTGGAGAAAGCCAGAGTGAAGTAAGGGCTATGAGTAAGAGGTGAGGATGGGACAAGGACATCTCTAGCTCAGCCTTCTAGTTCCTCCAAACCTTTCCCTAAGGCTCTTACTTCTAACACTTACTCTCCCCCATGCAAAGCCTGGCAGTTCCCTCCTCTGCCCTTTTCTTCTATGGCACAGACAAATGCTCTTCAGGCCAACCGCAGGCCCCGGGCTCACCAGAACCAGGGTCCCCCTGCAAACCAAAGAGCCCTCACCCCTAATCCCAAGGCATCTGCCCTTCTTTTCTCCCCGGGCCACCATGAGGCTGAAGCAGCTCGGGTGTCCTGCCTGCTATCTCGGGTTGCACATGCTGGGCATGTAGGGACTGCTCCCAGCATCTGCCAGAAAGGGGGCGGGGGAAAGACCAGATTGGAAGGGAAGACAAAAGACTGTGGGGTCAGTGCCGCTCAAAGGAAAGAGCAACTAACCTCTGGCTGGGCTGAAGGACTACTCCCTGCACCCAGAACAAAAAATGATGTGTCAGGAGAAGAAAGTGGGGTGCTCAGAGCTAGGCCAAGCAGAGAGAGATGGCAGCTAACATGGAGAGAAAACCCCCGGGGCTGACCCACACATCTGAGCATCTAACCCCAAATTCTTCTAGGCCAGTGGTCGGCAAACTCAGTCAACAGAGCCAGATACCAACAGTACAACGCCTGAAATTTCTTTGGAGAGCCACATTTTTTAAACTTAAACTTCTAACACCACTTCTTCAAAGTAGACTCGCCGGGGCCGTGGTATTTTGTGGAAGAGCCACACTCAAGGGGCCAAAGAGCCGCAGTTTGCGGACCATGGTTCTAGGTTCCTAACTCTTGTCTCAGGGAAATAGCCCTGCCTACCACCATGACCACCCAGAACAATCCACACTCTAAATCAGGAAATGGAAGTCGAATGGAAAAGGAGACACTAAATGGAAGGCCAGGCCCACTGCCCCAAATCAATCAAGTTCACCACTACTGCCCAGGGTTTTCTGGAAATTCCCTGACACAGGCAGCTCCTACCTGGTTTTATTCTTTCAAGTTTTCCTGAGGTATGCCAAAGAGTACAGACCAGAGAACTCAGCACCCTAGCTCACTTAGTTTTCCCCAGACTTCAGAAGATTCTTCCCAGTGGTGGTGGGACCGCAACGATATTATTCTAAGAAGAAGCTTTGACTTTGGTGAAAAACTATGAGGGACGGAACCCAGAGGCACGGATACAAGCTGTTTCCACTGTCCACAGAACCTCTCACAAAGCTGGGGTTCTCCGGGAGAAACAAGGGGCCTTGCCCTGGGATTCAAGCCTACAACTGACAAACACGGCCTGCGGACAGGAATACCCTCGCTTTACTGTGCTCCCTTCCGCAACTAAAGCAGCCCAACATAAAAAAGCATCTTAGTCCCAGGATCTCAATAAACCCAGGTACCCACACTCACATTATGAAATAAGTTTTCTGGGCTTTTTTGGAGGAGTTGCCTTAATGCAAACCGCAGGGGTTTCTCCTTCACACACAGGGTTTTTCTCAAGTTCCCGCCCTTGTTTGTCACATATACCCTTCCACCCACCTCCACTCTAGACCCCTAAGCCCGTGGCTCCCTTGTTATAAGGCCAAACACACCGTTTCCTAATAACAGGAGGATTAGCCCACATGAACAGATTAGCCCACATCAAACAGGTGTTCCCCGCCTCTCCGTTCCTTTAGCAGCAACTCCAGCTTTTAAGAGCGCCCCACCCACCACCCTAGCCCCCAAGAATTGCCAAATCCTGTCCCTGTCTAAGTCCCCCTCCCCCCAATCTTGGTTCTACTACAAGGATCTCCCTCCTCCCCATTCCACCCCATGCCCTGCGAAAGGTGCCCTAATTCGCTAAGGAGAGAAGCCGCTACCAGGACCCGACAGAGGCCCGACACTTTCCGAAAACCCGTGAGCACCGCTGACCGAGGTCCCCACCACGACCAGCGTCCGCCCAGGCTCACCGTGCGGATCTGCCTCCGCAAAAGGTAAATGAAGAAGCTCCACAGCTTGGCGGCGAAGGCCACGAACGTGCGCAGCCCCAGCAGACACTGCGTCCGCATCATCCCGATGACCCCGGCACCGCCGGCCCCGGGGCCCCCGCGGCCCAGCTCCGCCAGCCCCCCGGGGGCAGCCCCCCGCCGCCGGGAGGGGGAACGGGGGCCCCGAATGGCAGGAGAGGCTGCAGAGAGGGGCACGGAGCGGGCGGCTCAGAAAGCCACCCCGGGCGAGGGCAAAGCCCAGCGGAACCAGGAGCTGGGGGGCAGGCGTGGGCAGCCCGCGGGGGCCCACATGGGCAGGGAGTGGCACCGGCGGCTTCGCGGAGACTGCGGGCCGAGACAGACCGGGTTAGGACGGGGTCCTCCGAGCGCAGGAGGGAAGGGGATGGAGAATTGGGGGAGGGGGCCCGGGGGAGGGGGCTGGGGAGAAAGGAGGGGGAGGGGAGGAAGCGGAGGGCGGCCCGCTGCGCAGGCGCGCTAGGGGGCTGCCCGCGGGAAAGGGGCGGGCGCGGGCAGCGGCGCGCGAAGGGCCGCGGCCCGGGAGGACGGGCCGGCTGGCGGAGGAGCGGGGGAGGAGGGGAGGGGGAGCCGAAGGGCGCGGATGCCTGAGCCGGAGCGGCCTCCCCCTCCCCGAGGTCGGGGGCGCCTTAACCGCTGAGGAGCGGGGCTGCAGCTTCTGCAGCTGGATTTCCCACTCTGACAGGCGCCATTTTACCAAAGGGCTCCCTCCTCCTTTCTTCCCCCCTCCTTTCACCTCTGACACTACTTCCGGTGGTGACGTGTGTGCGCTTCACCCGGGATGCAGCTCCGGACTCGACCTACGGGGAGGGACCGGGAGGGCGGTGTGGCCGCGCACAAGGCCGCGGACCGCGCACGCGCAGACGGCGGCGGTGGGCCGGCCTGGGGAGGAGCGGGCCCCGCCTCTGACGGGGTGAGCGGGGCGGGGTGACTCCAATTGACCCCGAGTTCGGGCGGTCTGACGGGATCGTGCGGCCTCCTCCCCCTCCCGCCGACACCCGCCCCAAACCGCTCCTCCGCCCTGGTTACTGTAAAAACGTGGAGAGGGGCGTCGTCCGTACGTATGGGCGCCCGGCGCGGGCGGGGCGCCTCCGCGTGAGCCGCCCCGGGAATATTGAACATAGTATGACCTCTCCGTCCAGACGGAGCCGGATCCCCGCGGTGGGAGGAGCCATGGACGCCCCGCCCCTTCCCTGGGGGCGGGACCGCGGGTGATGACGCCATCAGAGGGCGCAGGAGAAGCGGCGGGGCCGCCTGTGGGAGATGCTGGAGTCGCTATCGGGTCATGGCGGCCTGGTGCTGCTTCGGGGTGAGGGGCGCCGGCACGCGTGCTCGGGAGCCGGGTTCGAGGGGCGGCAGCATCGCGGAAGGACCGTGGGTCACAGGCTCGGGTGGTGGCAGCGATGGTCCGTGAAAGCGGAAACCTTGTGCTCACGCTGTTTATCTGTCCTCCTCCCCCAGACTCGGTGGAGTGGGAGGGGCGCAGTCTCCTGAAGGCGCTGATCAGGCAGGCCGCGCTGCGGTGAGTATCGCGTGGCGCCTCCCCGTCCTCGCGGGGCAGGAAGCCGGGGCCCACCCTGACATCGCCTCCTGTGTACCCCAGTGGAGAGCAGATCCAGGTCCTGGGCTGTGAAGTGAGCGAGGAAGAGTTTCGTGAAGGTTTTGATTCCGCTACAAACAGCCAGTAAGTACAGACTGGAAGAGAGTTAGTTCATTGGACGTGGGACCTCTGTTGCTAAGGAATTTCCCTCAAAGCAGCAAGTCCAGGGTCTGGCATGTGCAAGGTTCAAGTCAGTAATGCCTGGGCAGGCTAAATAGCCACCTCAGACGGTGAATAAAGAAAAATTGAACTTACGTAGGAAAAGAGTTGGAGAATGGGGATATCCAAAGGGAAGTGTGACACAGCACTAAGCCAAGGGGCTTTCTGTACCTGGCCCATCCTTACTGTGTTCTTGTCTGTTTAACGGTATGTATAGCAGCTACTTATTCATTGAATGAATAGATAATGGATCATCCAGGAGATGGGTTTAGGATGGCAGCAAAAACCCATTGAGGACAGTAAAACAGGAAGGGCATAGAAGCAGCAACAGGAAAGCCAAGGCCGGGCTGCTTGGCTCACTGAGAAGTCAGAGAAAAGGGGACCTAGGAGACAGGCTCAGGGTGTTAACCCCGGACGATTTGCCACTGCCCGTTGCTCCCCTAGTTGCAGGTCTGGTGGGATCCCTTGGAGAAAAGAAGGGGGAAGGGAATGGCGCTGGCGAGTTCCCCTGGGGGAGAGTGAGTGCTGGGTCCTTTTTCTTGAGCAAATTTATCTCTTTCTTGCAATTGGGACTCTTGGGGGAGGTCTTAGGGAGTATCTTAATAGAATATTCATTAGCTTTTCAGGTGTGTCCCTTCAGGGTCCTGGTCTCCACTGATTGGTCAGTGCTAGAGCAGGGCCATTAGTCTGTGGTCCTGAGGCAGCCATGGGGGTCACTTGTCTGTTGTTTCTTTTCTTTTAAAAAAAAAATATATATTTTATTGATTTTTTACAGAGAGGGATAGAGAGCTAGGAACAGCTGAAACCGGTTTGGCTCAGTGGATTGAGCGTCGGCCTGCAGACTGAAGTGTCCCTGGTTTGATTCCGGTCAAGGGCATGTACCTTGGTTGCGGGCACATCCCCAGTGGGAGACGGGCAAGAGGCAGCTGATTAATAACTCATCAATGTTTTTAACTCTCTATTTCTCTCCCTCTCTGTAAAAATCAATAAAATATATAAAAAATTTCAAAAAAAAAAAAAAAAGGGAGAGAGAGAGAGAGAGAGCGAGCTAGGAACATCTATTAGAGAGAAACATCGATCAGCTGCCTCCTGCATACCTGCTACTGGGGATGTGCCTGCAACCAAGGTACATGCCCTTGACCGGAATCAAACCTGGGACCCTTCAGTCCTCAGGCTGATGCTCTATCCACTGGGCCAAATCGGTTAGGGCCACTTATCTGGTTTTGCTGCTTTTTAAAAAAAATATATATTTTATTGATTTTTTACAGAGAGGAAGGGAGAGAGATAGAGAGCTAGAAACGTTGATGAGAGAGAAACATCGACCAGCTGCCTCTTACACACCCCCTACCAGGGATGTGCCCGCAACCAACGTACATGCCCTTGACCGGAATCGAACCTGGGACCTTTCAGTCCGCAGACCGATACTCTACCACTGAGCCAAACCGGTTTTGATTGGTTTTGCTGCTTTTTTGGGTCTGGAGCTGAAATACAACAGAGGCCTAGATGTTATCTTTTTTTTTTTTTTTTTTTTTTTTGCTTTTTTTAAATATTTATTTTTAATTATTATTTTTTAATACACCTTTATTGTTCATATTATTACAAAATTCCTCATTTTTTTCCCCCCTCCACCAGGTTCCCACCCCACCCTCTGCTCTTTCCCCACCCCCCATTGTCCTCATCCATAGGTGCACAGTTTATGTTCAGTCTCTTCCCACACCCCCACTCCCCTTCCTAGATGTTATCTTTAGGAAAGAAAAGGTCAGGCATCCAAACTGCATGACCAGAGATATGATAGAGGGCAGCTTATCCTGGAGTTGAGGTTCTTGTTTTCCCACTTTTGCCCTTGCTAGGCATCTGGGGCTTTCTGTACCTGGCCCATCCTTACTGTTTTCTTGTCTAACGGTATGTAGTAGCAGCTACTTATTCATTGATTAGATATGGCTCTTCCAGGAGGCAAGAATTAGCAAGAGGAGTGATAAGGAATTGGTGAGTATGTGGAGAATCCAAAGCAGAATGTGAAATAGAGGGTAAAGGCCTACAGTAGACAAGTTTGTACTGGAGAAGAAAAATAAACATGTTCTGCTTTTTTTAAGTTAGTCAGAATCTGGATTCCAAACATGCATCAACAGTTAACTGTAAGCTACTGAGGGGTTTGTCCTACAGGCAGAGGGAACAGCATATGCACAGTTAGGCATATATGAGGAAGGCATACCAGTTCATGGATGATGGAAGAGCTTACTGAGGTTAGACAGAAAAAGATACTACCTGAGCCCAGCCAGTTTGCTTAGTGGGTAGAGCGTTGGCCTGCAGATTAAAGGGTCCCAGGTTCATTTTCAATCTAAGGGCTCCACAGGATGTGTGCAGGAGGCAACCAATCCATGTGTCTCTCGCATTGATGTTTCTCTCTCTGTCTTTCCTCCTCCCTTCCACTGTCTGTAAAAAAACAATGGAAGCCCTAACCTGTTGGGCTCAGTGGATAGAGCGTCGGCCTACAGACTCAAGGGTCTCGGGTTCGATTCAGGTCAAGGGCATGTACCTTGGTTACCAGCACATCCCCAGTAGAGAGTGTGCAAGAGGCAGCTGAATCGATGTTTCTCTCTCATTGATGTTTCTAACTCTATCCCTCTCTTTTTCTCTCTGTAAAAAGTCAATAAAATATGTATTTTTTTAAAAACAATGGAAAAATATTCTGGGGTATGGATTAACAACAACCACAAAAAAAGATATCTGATAGCCCTGGCCAGCGTGGTCAGTGGTTAGAGCATTGGTCCCCCAAACCCAGAGATCGTGGGTTCTGTTCCAGTCAAGGGCATGGACTTGGGTTGTACATTCCCCAAGAGCATGGGCCCAGTTGGGGCGCATTTGGAAGGTAATCAATTGATGTGGCTTTCTCACGTGGATACTATCTTCCAGTGAGGATTAACAACAACAAAAAAGATGCCTGAGAGTGAAAGGTCTTGCAGAGTCTGAAAGGAGTTGAGATGTTGTAGAGAAAGTGGGGAGTCTTGAAAATTTGGGAGTGTAGTATCATCATTCCTGTTAGTCAGTGACCACAGTGTTGAGAAGGGTTGGCAGGGGGCAGCATGGAGATGGGGAAACCAGGTGGGAAAATTATTGCAGTAATCCAAGTTGACTCAGGTGTATGTACTGAGCACCAATTGTGAATCAGTGCTACCCACTGGAGACAGAGTGGTGAATGAGGCAGATGTAGTCTCTTTTGGTTTGAAATTAGAGCATAATGTAGGAGGTGACAGAGCTGGCTTGCGGGGGTAGCAGTAGGAATGGAGCGTTTAGGACAAATGTAAAAGGACTTGAGCCACTTATGGATGGACTTGTAGATGTGGGTTAGGGGCAAGTATCCAGGTCAGGAGGTCCCTGGACCCATTTACATTGCCTGATTAAGAAAGATTACTTCCTGGTCTGGGTAGTTCCATGAATTATAGCAGTTTATATCTATCTGTTGAGCCCTATTTTGTACCAGTCATTGCGAGAGAGGTGATGCTGTATGTTGAGATTCCATTTGAAAGGGAAACAGAAGGTAGAAAGGAGGGGTCTGGGAACAAGTTCTGCCACCATGAAGCTTTCCCGGGACTTTCATCCCACTCCAGCATCCCTTTCCTGAATTGCTATTTTATCTGTAGTTGGTACCACATAACTTAATTTGTGGCCTTTGCTAAGCTCTTCTACAGGCTGGAACCATGTCTTGTGTTCTTTCCTTTCCCTTTCCATCCAGAGATAAGCACCACTCAAGACTTATTTGACAGTGTATGATAGCTAACATTTATAAAGTATTTAGTATGTTTCCAGCACTGTGCTAAATGTCAAAAGGTTTTATTCCTGTTTTACAAATGAAGAAACCAAAGATTAAATAATTTACCCATTACGTGACCTTGGGCAGTTAGCAAGCTTTGAGTTCAGGGCTGTCTGATGCCAAAGTCTCTTTACTCAATCACTATACTCTACTTCTCCATTATTACCTTTCACTGGAATATAAGATACTGGTAAAAATTGAGAAAACGATCCCACAAAGGTCAGAGGGTGAATTTCAAGACTGGTAGAGGGGCAGTATGTTGTCTCCTATTTTCTCTTTGTAGGCTGGTTTACCATGACCTCTTCCAAGACCCTCTCAACTGGTCCAACACTGGAGAGGCCCTTCCGGGGGCGCCCCTGGGAGTGTTGAGAGCAATGCGCAGGAGAGCAGGTCCCGGTCCTGTCACCATTGCGCTTGATTCACTGAGCTGGCTGCTGCTCCACCTCCCCTGCTCCGCACTCTGCCAAGCCCTGCATGCTCTGAGCCGACAGGACTCCCGCCGCGGTGAGACCCTCCTTCATTACTTCCCCTCATACGTGTCCCTCTGCCACGGAACAACATATCAGAGATCTCCAAGTGGATCTTCTTTCGTCTCTTTTTAAAAAATGTATTACTTTATGCCGGGACCGGTTTGGCTCAATGGATAGAGCGTCGGCTTGGGGACTGAAGGGTCCCGGGTTCAATTCCGGTCAAGGGCATGTGCCTTGGTTGCGGGCATATCCCCAGTAGGGGGTGTGCAAGAGGCAACTGATCGATAACTCTCTCTCATCGATGTTCCTAACTCTATCTCTCTTCCTTTCTCTCTGTACAAAATCACTAAAATAAAAATAAAATTAAAAAATGTATTACTTTAACCATTCTTTAAAAATACATTTTTATAGATTTTGGAAAGGAAGGGAAGGGGAGACAGAGAAGAAGAAACATTGATATGCTGCCTCCAATAAGCCCTCTACTGGGGATTAAGCTTGCAGCCCGGGTATGTGTCCTGACCAAGAATCAAACTGGAGACCTTTTGGTGCATGGGTCGATGTTCAGCCAACTGAGCCACACCAGCTAGGGCCTTTTTTTCAATCTCTTTTTTTAAAGTATAATTATTTCAGAAAGGCAGGGAGAGGGAGAATGAGAGAGATAGGAACATCAATAATTAGAGAATCATTGATCGGCTACCTCCTGCACACCCCTCACTGGGGATCAAGCCTGCAACCTGGGAATCAAATTGTGACCTCCAGGTGCATAGGTCAGTACTCAACCACTGAGCTATGCTGGCCAGGCCCCCCCCCCTTTTTTTCTTTTTTTTCTTTTTTTTATCTCTTTAACCTTTATTCTAGTTCTTCACTTTTCTGTAATGCCACCTACCCATCACTTTTCCAAGTTCTTTTTTACTCGTCGATTTTATTCATTCATTCAGCAAACAATAAATACAGCATGTTAAGTACAATTTTAGATAATAGGAAGATAAAGACTTAATTGTAGTCTAGTCCTTGTCTTCTGGGAGCTCAAAGTTCATCAAGGATACAGACAAGTAAACAGGTAGTTACAAGATAATCTGATAAGAACCTTGCCGATAAGGGGTGAGCCCAGCAGATTTGGCCAGTCCCCTGGCACTAAGACTAGCCTGGAAGTACAGGGCGGGGCAGACGTAGGATTGCAGTTGTAAGTATGAAACCAGAGTTTGTTCTTGTATTTTTATTTACTGAATTGCTTTCCTCTGAACAACTGTAAACCTACTTTTGCCACACCCTGTATACTTTGGGTACTAGCATGGACTTTGAAGTCAGAAACCTGGCTTTATATTATGGTACTTGATCTCTCAGTACTTCAGTTTCCTCTGTAAACATGTGGAATTGCCATTTTTTGTAGTTCAGAGGTAGTCAAATGTCAAATATGAGCAAGTTCATATGGTTCAACCTAAAAATGCTGACCTGTATAAGGATTGAAATGTTACAGTAAAGTGTTTAGTGTAGTGTAAATGCTCTGGCACTCTGTAAATGCTCCCCCAAAAGGCACCAATGGGATCTTGGCAAGTTCCAAAAGCTGTAAGGCTTGGGGGTGCCCCTGAGAGCTGTAGTCGTGGTCTCTCGATCAGACTTACATTGGAGTAGGAGGTGCCGTGGACCCAGGTTTTGGAATGTCTCCTATCGCAAACAGTCCACCTCTCTACCGGACCACCCTTCATGCTGATACCTGTATGATGAGTCACGCATCTTTCATGCGACAAAGGAGAAAATGTACAAATATGAGTCAGTTATCCACTGTTAAAAATCTCAGGATGTTGTGCTGTGAACTTTTTCGTGTTTTTTTGCTTTTGTTGCTGCTTATACTTATTGTAAAATTTTTGGGTTTTGGTGTACATTTCCTTTCCTTTTCATTAAATTTTCCTTTACATTTCATGTCCTTTTTTAAAGTGTTTATTTACAGATTAAACAGTACAGTAGACGTACTATATATGAGAAAGGTTAAAACAGAATTATTTGGGGTTCTGGAAGGGATTAATTCCATTCACATTATTTCTAATGGGGAAAAAATGATTCGGTTTTCGAACAGCCTTCCGGAACAAATTTAAGTTTGAGAAATGAGGTTCCACTGTTCATGAGAGGTGAGAGCTGCAGGAGGCTCAGTGCAGGGCCATGAAATGGCCACACTGAGCTCGGAGTGTGGCAGAGCAGTGACAGAATGTGGGCCTGCTTCTCTCTCTTTCCTCTTCACTATTGATCCCAGGCCTCCACCCCAGACGCTCCCTTCCGCCCTGTGTGACCTGCATTTCTTGTCCCTCTCCAGATGACAGCTCCCCGGTAGAACATGTGTGTGTGCTGGGCCTGCTACATGAAGAGCTACATGGCCCGGGCCCTGTGGAAGCACTGAGCACCCTTGCTCAGATTGAAATGACCTTGAGTGGTACAGGGGGCCAGGTCTCAGCTCACATTCTCTATCGGAGGCCCCAACATCGTCCAACACATAAGGTCAGAGAAACCTGGGAGGACCAGAGGTTGGGGTCGGACAGAGGGGAAGAACAAAAAAAAAAAAAGCCGATGTGCTGAAGCACTTCTCTGTACTTCCATCATTTCCTTATTTTCCTCATTTAACCTTCACAGCTACCCTCTGAGATAGTTTTATTACCCCCGTTTTCTGGCCTGGGAAACTCGGATCCTGTGAGCTTAACCAATGAAAGATACTGGTTCCAGGAAATGGAACTGGAGAAAAGACTGGGAGTGGTTCCTAGGGAGGGGAAGGAACAAGTTCATAAGTTTGAATGAGGAGTGAGAGCAAGAGCCAAAAGCAGTGACACAGCCGATTGAGGCTGAAGTTCTCTCTGGTTTCTTTAGTAAGATGGAAAAAAAAAAAAAACTTTTAATACTCTCCTTTTCCCCAGATTCAGTGGTTCTCCATCCTGCCTGACTTCAGCCTGGACCTCCAAGGGGAATGTCCCCTGAAGTCCCAGCCCCACTCAGATCCTCGCACACACCCGGTATCTAAGAGCGCCAGGGCCAGAACAAGAGAATGGGGTTGGGATCTGGCAAAAAGAGAGAATAAAAACTGCAGAGGTTTGGGGGTGGGGTCAGAGATTACAGGGATGGGACAAAATGACAGCATCCTTTGTACCTACAGGTGGATCCCACTACTCACTTGACCTTTAACCTTCACCTGTCCGAGAAAGAGAAGGAAGTCAAAGATAGCCTGACCCTGCCCTTCCAGTTCAGCTCTGAAAAGTAAGGCTGCAGCCTATATCCCTGGGTCCTTAAGCATAGAGCCCAGGGCCTGGGCCCCAGAGGTGGGGTGACAACAGGTTGTTGATTAACCTCTGACTTTATTAGGGTTGAAGTCCATCTCCAGCGCCAAGTCTGGGGAGTGGCTCTCTACCACCCATACCCCAACAATGACAAAGCCTTTGTCGTCTTTTTCTCCATTACAGCCTTGGGTTCCAGCCCCACATCTGAGTCTGAGCTGAGCCAGAACAGACCCTGGGGAAAAGGTCAGGACAGGAAGCTAAATGGGGCGGGCAGAGGCAGGTTAACAAGGGCTTAGAAGATACCTGTTCTGTGCCCAGTGTGTGGATGCTTGAAGTAAGACTATGGCAGGATCCTTGCCCTCAAGCTGCAAGGAGTATTAGAAAGGGAGTGGTGTTGAGTAATCTATTCCAGGACCAAATGGTGCTTCAATACTAACTAAATCAGGAGGTCAGAGAAAGGGACTTGGACCAAGAAAACTTTGGAGTACAGAGGAGGAGTCATAGTTACCAGGTATAGGGTATTCAGATAGGACCCTTGTTACCCATCCTCACCAGCACCAATTCTTCTCTCTCAGGCAGCAGGCTCTACTGTGCCGTGGCTTGGGCCAACCTACCAGCCGTATCTTCTATGAGCCAGATGCTTATGATGACCTGGACCAAGAGGACCCAGATGATGACTTAGATATTTGACTGAATTGGAGGGGGGTGAGATGTCTGCAGGCCTATAACCATTGTTCCAGTTGGCCTTACCTCGTTTCTTCCCCTCCTCTGTTTCCTGTGTCTCTGGAGGCCCTACCCTGTCACCCGTGAGCTGGGGAGCAGTGTCCAGTCGGACAAAAAGTGGGAAGGCCCTAACCAGTTTGGCTCAGTGGACAGAGCATCAGCCGGTTAACTAAAGCAGCCTGGATTCGGTTCCGGTCAAGGGCATGTACCCGGCCCTGGTCATGGTGCATGCAGGAGGCAACCAATCAATGTGTCTCTCACATTGATGTTTCTCTCCCTCTCCCTTCCACTCGCTCTAAAAATCAATGGAAAAATATCCTCAGATGAGGATTAACCAAAAAAGTGGGATGGAGGCAGAGGGAAAGGTGAGAAACTAGGAAACCTGTCTCTCTCTCTCTTTCTCTCTCTCTCTCTCTCTCACACACACACACGCCTAATAAATATTTTTTTATTAAAAAAGAAATTCTCTGGTAGCTATTTAAGCAAGAGTTGGGAGTAGAAAGGACTGGAAGATGGCAATGGATTAAGGAAACCAAGTACCGGAGTCTTCAAGAGTCAATAATGTGGGGCCTGAATAGCAATGAACTGGTGGAACAGGGTGGCCCAGCACACCATTAGTACTCAGTGTGGGTTTGGGTTTTTTTGTGGGTTTTTTTTAGCTGAAATAGGTGTACTTAGGTTCCAGCCTCCCTGTAAGGATTTCAGTAGGAAGAAGCAGAGGCCCTGAAGGGGAAAGAAAGAAGCCTCCTTTCCAAAACATACTTTTTATTACTGTACAAAAAGCACATCCACCCTCTGTTCTCCCCCGCCCAGCCCCCAGGGAACTGTACATGGTGTACCGGAATGCAGCGACCCACAGCTGCCGCCGCACATCCTGCCCACAGGCCGAGCTCTGCCCCAGGTCCTTCCAGGCTGGGGCCATGGAGTCCCAGCTCACACATACTCCTTGGCAGAGTTGGGCTTAGTGTAGGAGCGGGGGGCACCATACCTAGCTTTGCCCTCACTCCCGGGACAGGAGCAAGAGAGCATTGCACCTCCCAAGAGGACCAGAGCAGACCCTGCCCAGCCGATGAAGATGGCAGGACCAAACTCGTACCTGTGGGGAGAGGGAATTGCGGTCAGAAACCCTGGCCTGTCTCTCCAGACCCCAGACCTGTCCCCTTAGGAGGCAAAACTCCCATACTTACTTAATATTCATGGGGACCAAAGGGTTATAAAAGTCTGTGACAATCTGGTGGCCACACCAGGAGCAAGCTATCAAAGCAGCAAGACCTAGAGAGAGAATGAGGGTGCAGGTACTGTGAGACCCCCCCCCCCTCAAACCGGCACCATGTCCACCCTAACTGGAGCCCTGGACTTCTTGGACCTGTGACTCACCTGCCACGATGAAGATGATGCCTCCGGTCATGGCTATACGGGCCTTTTTCACCTTATCATCTCCCCCGCAGCGGGTACACTTCATGCCCATCGTGGCCACGAACATGGCTAGGAAGCCCAGCACGAGGGACACCACCATCAGAGCTCTGGTGGCCTGCTGGGCCGCTGGAGGAAGGAGGGGGCCTCATTACTGGGAGGCAGGCAGCCTTCGAACCGGCGGCCGCCGGCTGAGATGCCCTCGGCGTCCAGGCCCGGGGCCGGTTCTGGGTGGATCCCGGCTCCAGGGCCTCCAGCTCCGCCCCACCCCGTCTGCTCTGCCACTCGCCCGGGGCGCCCCGGTTTCGATGAAACTGCCCTGGGAAGGGGGAAGGAGGAAGGGACGGCGGCGGCGGCGGCGGCCGGAGGCTCCGCTCGGGCCGCGGAGGGCGGCTCGGCCCAGCCCTGACCCCGCTATCGAGCCTGCGGACCTGTGGCTTCGCCTAATCGGGCGATAAGATTAGAGGCCGCAGGTCTGCCCGGAGCGCGGCTCCTCACCGAACCCGCGCCCCCTTTGTCCGCGAGGAAAGGTGGGAGCAGGGAGGCCACCGCCAGCCGGGGGCGCAGCGGAGACCCGGGCCCGGCCACCCGGGGAGCTGGGGGAGAAGGGGCGGCCCCGGTGTGGCCGCCTGGACGCCGCCTATCCCGGCCCCCCTGCCCGGCCCGGCCCGGCGCTCCCGCTCCCTCCCCGCCCCGCGGCTCCCAGGCAACCCGGGGCGTCGGGCCGACCTGCCCGCCATCCCGCCCCCCCCCCCCCCAACCTCGGCCCGGCGCGTCCGCCCCGTCTGTCTGGCGGCCTTACCCGGCAGGGCGAGCACCGATTCGTACATTTTGCAGCTGATGATGCCCGTGCTCTGCGTCACGCACTCCATCCACAGCCCCTTGTACATGGCCTGGGCCGTGATGATGTTGTCGCCCGCGTACGAGCTCATCTGCCACTGTGGGAGGGCGGTGCACACCAGCAGGCCCACCCAGCCCAGCAGCGCCAGCGAGAAGCCGAGCAGCTGCAGCCCCGCGTTGGCCATGCCGCTCACGAAGGCCGAGGGCGCGGGCGGGAGCCTCTGCGGCGAGGGAAACGTCGAGGGGCGACCCCACCAGACGACTCGGCTTGGAGTTACAAGCCACCGAAATCAAACCAAAAAAAGGCTTCTGGTCGAGCGACTACGAATCTCTTATCCCCCGGGGTGAACACGAAGCTCCCCGCCGGCGGCGCAGGCTCCGCTCCGAGGACGAGCGGGCGGCGAGGCGATCCCCGATCCCCGACGTCCGTCCGGGCCGTTCTCTCCGGGGCGGTCGGCGACGCTCCCCAAACAAAAGGCGCAGGGGGGGGGGGGCGGTTCGAAGTCCCCGCGGACCCTGGGCTGTGGCCGGGCCGAGGTGCAGCAGCGGCGGCGGCGGGTGCGGCGGCGGGTGCGGCGGCAGGTGCGGCTCCGGTATTTGTAGGGCGTCGGGGGCGCGCCCCGCGGACCCGGGAGCGCGGCGGGAGCGGAACCGGAGGGGCGGCCGAGGGTGACCTGACGTCACCGAGGGACACTCACCTGGGCCGGAAGTGCCGGCCCCCACCCTCCCCTCCTCTCCCAGGTGCAGAGGAGGAAACCTGAGCGCCGGGGTCACGCCCCTGCGCGGCCCGTCCGGGGCCGCTGCTGGGCAGCGGACGGCGGCCAGTCGGGAGTCAGCCCCTCCGGACCGGACTTCGATCGGCGCCGGGAAGCCCCTTCCCCACCGCCCGACAGGTGCGCTGGGGAAGTGGGGGGAGGGGGCACGGAGCGCGGAGACGCCCCCGTCGCCTCCGCCCCGCCCCGCCCCCGCCCCCTCCCCTCCCGCCGCGGGGACTCCAGGCCGGGATTCCAGGTGCATTTTGTCCCGCCCGACCTTGCCCCCAACTTCAGCTCTACCGCTTTTTTTTCTTTTTCCTAGCCTCGCCGACCCCGTCAGGGCCCTAGCTCCAATTCCTTAGAATTTCCCCTTCAGCTGCCGTGCTGGCGTCCTACCCAGAGCCACCGCCCCAGCACACCGCCCCTTCCGCTGCCCGCAGCCCACCCATCCTGCCCTCCAGGCACCCTGCCCTCCAGGCACCCTGCCCTCCAGCAGGCACCCTGCCCTCCAGCAGACACCCGGCTTGCAGGCATGACTTCCCGTCTTCTTGGTCCCCTCCATCCAAACCCCTGCCCTGACTTAGTGCCTGGGCCCTCCCAGCGGTTCCTGTCCCCTCCCGCATCAAGGGTCCCTGTCACAGAAGGAAGAAACCACCGCAACCAGAAGCCAGCTGGAGATGGGAGCAGGTGGCGCCTCCGTTACAGCCTTGGTCACAGCCCTCCTTCCCGCCCTTACGTCTTTCCAGGCTTGTCCCTCACCTTCGCCTCTTCCTCCCTCTTACACCAGCCCCCACCCTCGGGCCCCCAGCCACACCCCCATTTCTCTTTCATTCTGAGCTTGGACCAGCCTGTGTGTGGGCTCTCCCACCCGCTCTGCTCCCTAACATCTGGCTCTAAGGTGACCTTTGATTCAGCTCGCAGGCTCCCACCGCACCCTCAGATTTCTTCTCTGACTCTCCCCTGTTTCCCCATCCTCCCTCTGGATAGCTCTTCCCAGCATCCCACATTCACTCACTCCTCCCAGGCGTTTATCCTCTCCCCCTTCCTGCCTTTCCCACTTCCTATTTCACTGTCCTCTCCTTTAGTCTACCTTTGGACCCTACCTGTCTCCAGCGCGCTCGAGTCCAGCATCACCAATGAGTCTTTCCTTGCATCTCCCCGCCCAGTTCCCTCCCATCTTCCTCTTCGCCCACCTTGCCACACCTCTCAGACCCCGCACCTCGCTCACTCTGTCTTCCTTCATTTTCTCTCTCCTTTTCCCCCTCAACTCTCACGAATTTCCTTTTTTTTTTTTGTTCCTCCCTCTTAAACATGTTTCTGTAGGTCTTCCCTTCTTGTATACAATAAACATATTAAACAACTCAATTAACGTGTTTTTCTATAAAATGCAGACTGTAATGAACTCTTTTTTAAAAATATATATATATATATTATTGATTTTTTACAGAGAGGAAGGGAGAGGGATAGAGAGTTAGAAACATTGATCAGCTGCCTCCTGCACACTCCTTATTGGGGATGTGCCTGCAACAAAGGTACCATGCCCTTGACCAGAATCAAACCTGGGACCCTTGAGTCCGCAGGCCGATGCTCTATCCACTGAGCCAAATCGGTTATGACTTTAATGAACTCATTTATTCATTCTTTTTTTTTTTTCCTATTTTTTGGTTAGTGGTCTTTTTTTTTCTTTTATTTTTTTTCTTTTTTGTTTGTTTGTTTTTAAGTTGATTTTAAGGGAGAGGAAGAGAAGGATAGAAACATCAATGATGAGAGAAAAATCACTGATTGGCTGCCTCTTGCACACCCCCTACTGGGAATAGAGCCTGCAATCTGGGCTTGTGCCCTTGACGGGAATTGAACCCCGGACCCTTCAGTCTGCAGGCTGCTGCTCTGTCAACTGAACCAAACCACCTGGGGCAATGTTGTTGTTTTTTTAAAGGTGTTTTCCAACTCTAAAATTCCATATTTCTCATTACTTAAGTACAGACAACTTCTCTCCACACTCACTGCCACCACCTCAGGCCAAGCCACCATCACCTCTTGCCTGGACACTACCTGCCTCCAAACCAATCCCCTGCTTCCCTTCATGTCCTAAAATCTAGTCTCTGGAAGGGACTTCTTTTTTTGTTTTTTCAAACAAACTTGGAGAATCTTGTCACTTCCTGTCCACAATCCTTACTGTTTTCCAATGGCGCTCTTCTGCTCCTACTGCCCTCTGGGTTTGGCAAATGCCATACACCAGGCTGCTTTAGCCACACTGGTATCTTTCTGTTCCTGAAACATACTTCCCACCAAATTGCCTTTGCACACTCCGTTCTCAATGCCTGGATGTTTTCCTCCACTTACCTCCACCCTCTTCCCTCTACCCAGCCAGCCAACTAATCCTCCAGCTATCAGCTCAAATATCACTTCTCCTAGGAAGTCTGGCCTGACCCCCAACCTCGGACTGAGTCAGATCACCTGCTGAATGCTGTCACCGCTACTTACTTATACTTTATTTTCAACGCTCTTATCGTAGTTTGAAACTATTTACACTGTGTGCTTATTTATTCAACGTCAGTCTCCCACTACACCGAGTTCCAAGCGGGCAGAGATGCATCTGGGTTTTATCACCAATAAATATTTGACGGCCGGAATAGCGTGGCTCAGTGGTTAAGCATTGACCTATGAACCAGGTCATGGTCTGATTCCTGGTCAGGGCACATGCCCAGGTTGCGGGCTTGATCCCAGTGTGGGGTGTGCAGGAAGCAGCCGATCAATGATTCTCTCTCACCATTGATGTTTCTATCTCCCTCTCCCTTCCTCTCTGAAATCAATAAAAAATATTTTTTTTAAAAATATCTGACTAATAAGTGAATAAATTTGAAAACGAACTATATTTTCATCCACCTGTTCAATAAATACTCCCTGAGTGCTTGTATAATGGACCAGGCACCATGTCTGACCCTGAGGACAGGCACCATGTCTGACCCTGAGGACAAGAAAGATAAGGACACTGCTCACGTGACTTACATTCTAGAGAGAGAGAGAGCAGGCAATATAATCATAAACAAAATGGCTGATGTTTTCAAGGCAATAAGACAGGTTCATGTGATGAGGTCGGCTCCACTCTCAAGGGAGACCTTTCTGGGAAGAGTGAATAAGAAGCCAGCCATGGCCAAAACCGGTTTGGCTCAGTGGTAGAGCATTGGTCTGCGGACTGAAGGGTACATCCCCGGTAGGGGTGTGCAAGAGGCAGCTGGTCGATGTTTCTCTCTCATCGACATTTCTAGCTCTATATCTCTCTCCCTTCCTCCTCTCTGTAAAATATCAATAAAATATATTTTTTTTAAAAAGAGAGAGAGAGAGAGAGAGAAACAACATTGTTTCCTATTAAAAAAACTGTGGTACATCTACACAATGGAATACTACACTGTGGTAAAAAAAAAAAAAAAAAAAAAAAGCCAGCCATGTAAGAATCATGTTCTAGCCAGAGGTCACAGCAAATGCTAAGACCCTGTGTCAGCTGCCCCTTTGAGACCTGCGGCATTAATTTAAAGCAGGATCTATTAACCTCACACATTTGATACTTGGGCCAGATAATTCTTTGATATGGGTGATGGTCCTATGCATAGGATATTTAGCATCCTTAATTTCTTTTTCTGATTAGATGCCAGTAGAATCTACCCCTGAACCCGTGTGACAGTAAAAAAAGGGGGGGGGAGATGCAGCTCCAGCCTGTTTGGCTTAGTGGATAGAGTCTGAGCCCACAGGCACAGACTAAAGAGTCATGGGTTGATTCCAGTCAAGGGCATGTACCTCAGTTGCAGTTTTGATCCCCATGCAGGAGGCAACCAATCAACGTGTTTCTCATCGATATTTCTGTGTGTGTGTGTGTGTGTGTGTCTTTCCCTTTCCCTTTCACTCTCTAAAAATCAATAGACGGTGGAAGGAAATTCTTGGGTGAGGATTAATAATTTAAAAAATGATGCAAGGATCGATCCAAGATGGCTGCACAGGTAAATACCTAGCCGCAGCTGCACACAACAATTTCAATAAAATACAACTAAAATATAAAATGGATATTACCCAGAACTACAGGAAAGTCGACTGACTGGAAATTCTACAACGAGAAGCAAGGAGAAAACCAGAAGGTACGGAGATACGCAGCGCGCAGAGAGGACGGAGCCAGAGAGGAGGGGTGGCTGAGTGCCTGGCTGGCATTCCCTAGCAGGAAGGAGACAAAAGCTCCAACTGTGCTGGGCCCCAGTTCCGACTGCTCTGAACCCCAGTTCTAGGCCAGACCTGGGAGACCCAGTCTCATCCATAGGGAGCTGGGCTGTAAGGCGGAACCCCAGGGGAGCGGCGAAAGGAGGTCCTGGAGGCGCAGAGAAGGGACAGTTGGCTATGCCGCGGGATTGCCCTGGCGGGAAGGAGACAAGGGCTCCAGACTG